CCATAACAAGCTTCACTGAACACCATTGTATTGGACATGGCATGTACACATCCATTTCTGCCAGATTTCTGAAAATGTTATGATTACATACAAGCTTGAATTGAATAAAATGAATACTTTATAACCTAATGAGTAGGGAGTTTTCATACGTTTATTTAAATCATGAGGGCATTAACTGTTATGATTAGACATTATTTTCTGCATTTTTCAGAAGAATAGTAACTTTTTCAGAAGAGCAAGGCATTCAGTCAGGTGAATGTTCAGCAAGGGCCTTATATTTGGATAAAGGGGAAGGTATATTCCAATGGGCACATGTAGGCACAACGTACACTATCGGAATATGTTTTTTCTCTATCGGATGGGTACCCCTTTTAATAACAAAAGAGACACATTTTCATTGCTTTAAGGTGAGGAATAGATTTTTGTGGAAAACTAAGGGTGTATGCCCCTGTCATTCTGGAAATGGGTATTGCTTATTTAACAAACATATCGCCACACAATGGAAATCTGGCACGTTCGCATACCAATTTCACTGTTTTACCCAAATCTGGCACAAAACAGATGTTCACATGCTATTTCCAAATGTTGCTTGTGAAACGTGTATACGTTAATGTAATCGCAGTATCAGTTACAAGAATCTTACTTTTACCTAAGGAAAAGCAAGAAGCTATTTCTATACAGCTTTATCTTTGCTTACAATAACCGTTTCTTTTCGGGTTTCGTTTTTGGGGGACGCACTATATGTATGCACTTTGAATGCCGTCGGAATATTTAGATTGCTGCTCGAATGCGGCTCGAATGCGGCTCGAATGCGGCTCGAATGATTGGAATGCACTTCGAATGCCGTCGGAGTCTTTAGATTGCTGCTCGAATGCGGCTCGAATGTTTGGAGTGCACTTCGAATGCCGTCGGAGTCTTTAGATTGCTGCTCGAATGCAGCTCGAATGTTTGGAATGCACTTCGAATGCCGTCGGAGTCTTTAGATTGCTGCTCGAATGCGGCTCGAATGCGGCTCGAATGCGGCTCGAATGATTGGAATGCACTTCGAATGCCGTCGGAATCTTCAGATTGCTGTTCGAATGCGGCTCGAATGATTGGAATGCACTTCGAATGCCGTCGGAATCTTCAGATTGCTGCTCGAATGCGGCTCGAATGATTGGAATGCACTTCGAATGCCGTCGGAATCTTTAGATTGCTGCTCGAATGCAGCTCGAATGATTGGAATGCACTTCGAATGCCGTCGGAACTTAGATTGCTGCTCGAATGCGGCTCGAATGATTGAAATACACTTCGAATGCCGTCGGAATCTTTAGATTGCTGCTCGAATGCGGCTCGAATGATTGGAATACACTTCGAATGCCGTCGGAATCTTTAGATTGCTGCTCGAATGCGGCTCGAATGATTGTAATGCACTTCGAATGCCGTCGGAGTCTTTAGATTGCTGCTCGAATGCGGCTCGAATGATTGGAATGCACTTCGAATGCCGTCGGAATCTTTAGATTGCTGCTCGAATGCGGCTCGAATGTTTGGAGTGCACTTCGAATGCCGTCGGAACTTAGATTGCTGCTCGAATGCGGCTCGAATGATTGGAATGCACTTCGAATACCGTCGGAACTTAGATTGCTGCTCGAATGCGGCTCGAAGGTTCGGAGTACACTTCGAATGCCGTCGGAACTTAGATTGCTGCTCGAATGCGGCTCGAATGCGGCTCGAATGATTGGAATGCACTTCGAATGCCGTCGGAATCTTTAGATTGCTGGTCGAATGCTGCTCGAATGATTGGAATGCACTTCGAATGCCGTCGGAATCTTTAGATTGCTGCTCGAATGCGGCTCGAATGATTGGAATGCACTCCGAATGCCGTCGGAATCTTTAGATTGTTGCTCGAATGCGGCTCGAATGATTGGAATGCACTTCGAATGCCGTCGGAATCTTTAGATTGCTGCTCGAATGCGGCTCGAATGATTGGAATGCACTTCGAATGCCGTCGGAATCTTTAGATTGCTGCTCGAATGCTGCTCGAATGATTGGAATGCACTTCGAATGCCGTCGGAATCTTTAGATTGCTGCTCGAATGCGGCTCGAATGATTGGAATGCACTTCGAATGCCGTCGGAATCTTTAGATTGTTGCTCGAATGCGGCTCGAATGATTGGAATGCACTTCGAATGCCGTCGGAATCTTTAGATTGCTGCTCGAATGCTGCTCGAATGATTGGAATGCACTTCGAATGCCGTCGGAATCTTTAGATTGCTGCTCGAATGCTGCTCGAATGATTGGAATGCACTTCGAATGCCGTCGGAATCTTTAGATTGCTGTTTGAGGAAGGGCGGTGACCGAAAAGCAAGAGAGTTACAGCAGTACGTCCGTCTCCATTGAAGTCGCTAGTACAATCGTGGTATGATGGCTATATGACATGGTTGGATGCAAATCTTTATAATGCTTCTATCGGCAGTTTTTTTTTCTATTTTTCAATATTAGAGTTACAATCACCATTTGCTGAATAAGAGAATTTGCATCTACAGGTTTATACTTACTGATTCCTCTTACTCTAAGCTCAGCGCACACTACAAGATCTGACTGCGATCCGATTTTGGAAGAATCTACAACAGCATTTTATATCAAAATTTCAACATGTAAAATCTTGTATGATTCAGGATCTGTTTCCTCATGGAATTAATAAAATCTAACTTTTAGGAGATTTCAAGCTTACTTCTTCAATAATCAGAATGCAGCCGGATCGTGTAGTGTGCGCCGGTAAGTGTTAGTGTAATTATTATTTTATGGAGAAGTGAATCTCACCAAGATAACCAAAATCCCATGTCCATAAAACCTCTTTAACGACGAACTTTTCTGTAGACTACAGTTTGGAACATAAGACGAGAAGTTATATTGATAATTCGAGGTAAAATTCAGGGTTTTTTTATCATTGTCTTTTTTTAATGCAAAATTCTATCTCAAATCTCTCGGTGTAAATGAGATTTCCTCAAGAATACCAATTTCTGAAAATATAGAAATTCTCGCCATCGAACATATCGAACATGACTGTGGAATAGCTTAATGCTTTATAATTACATGTATATATAATTATGTTTATGTACATTCTGTAAATTATGCCAGTCACAACAACATTTCGCTTGTTTTTATTAGCATTTTTAATACTTCACACATATCATCACATGTTGTAATAATAGTTCACCTTTTCATTGTAAAACGCTGTGTCAAAGGAATATTATATAGTATTACAGCGAAATGTATGTGTACCCGTGTTTCTCACAATTTGGACGAAAGGTCACAACTATGGACGTACGGAGCAAGAAAGGAGGAGGATGGGGTGTCCCCGTCCAATTTGAGCACTTTTAAACATGATGAGGAGTGATGAGAAATGCGAGGACTTGTAGCAATCGAATTATTTATAAAATAATTTGGGGACAGGCCTTTGATATGCCGTTGGCGTTTGTTTGCCCCCCCCCCCCCCCACATTTTGATACTGTTCTACTTTTGTTATTTGATGGAATTGACTTTGTCTTGTAAATGTTTGTTATTGTGATTTTTAGCAAAATGTGAAAATAAAATGAATTGAATTGAATTGAACTTAAATAAAATAGTCATGGAATGGAGTCGTGGAGTGATTTTCTTCTTACAGCCAGGTAAATTTAGGACATTATTTTTACCCGGAAATATGAACATAAAAACGAGTGTAACTGTCAAGGGTGTCCTCCTGAAAGCCCGTTGAAATGTAGTCATACAACGAAGAAAGCGTCTCATACACTAGAAAGGGGAGGGGGAGAGATAGTGAAAACGCTTTGTACTACGTCAAATGGCATTGACATCACCACCCCCTTCTTTTTAGGCCTGTATAGAGCCATGGCGATTTTTATTTCGTTTGTTTTAGTCATGCTAGCTACTGTCCACATACAAATATATATTCCTTGATTTCTTGATCGAAATGATTCATAGCATTACTCTGTGCTAGATATTTCAATTTCTCCTTGAAAGGATGTCTGCTCTTTGTACATGTAATTATATCAGGCGGGCGGGAATGTTCGAAACCTCGAACCCCGCCACCCCGTCCCCTCTAGTTACACGTACGTACATGACTTCGTGAATGTTATCAGCGTAACGTGGAAGAGATAAAAGCATGGTATCAAGAAAAAGGGAAATTGATCGGGAGAGAAAGGGAATGAGAGAGAGGAGGTTAATGGTGGAGAGGAAAACAGATACAGAGAGAATGGAGGTAACATAATAGAGAATGATGTGATGAGAGGGAGAGATCGAAAAAGAGAGACAGAGACAGAGAGAGCGAGAGAGAGAGAGAGAAAGAGAGAGAGAGAAAGAGAGAGAAAATAGAGTGAGAAAGATATTTAGAGAGAGGAAGGAGAGGGAGAGAGAATGTTTGTTTTTGGTGTGTGTGTTGTGTGTGTGTGTGTGTGCGTGTGTGAAGGCGTGTATATGTTATAGAGGGTGAGTATGTTTGTGTGATGGAGGGGGCAGGGAGGGGGCAGGATTGTTTCAGTAAAATTACCTCCAGATTTGTTTAAGTTTTTTTTTGTAATATATAAGTAAATAACATTTACAATTGACATATTATGTTTAGGTACTTATACGTTTACTTTGTTGCTAAGTTATATTATACTGCAAATAAGTTTGTGTTTAATTATGTTTATGTAAAAGCATCAATATTGAACACGTTTATTTTATTCAATTGTATGTCATGGTTTGTATTACACATCTGGAGAAATAAAACAAAATTGTTTAAAAAAATATATATATATGTTATACTACTATACACTATATGGTGTAGAGTAAACGCCTTTCTTTCTCTTTACTGGGATACATGACCTGAAAAATAATCGGGTTTGTTTTTTGGACCCCACTAGCGGGACTTATACAGACGAGCACTTTTGTGTTAACTATTGATTAATTTCACTACCCCTTTCTCACGGAGTATTGATTTTTGTTAGCCCCCTTTGATCTGTTTAATCTTTATGCTATATAGGCCTACTGCAAGTCCGAGCAATGCATAATACTATACAGGTATCCATGTGTGCGCATCTTAAGGGATCATTGTACGTAAAAATCCTTTAAAATTCACCTTGAGCAACTTTTCCTTCCATATTTCAACTGAAGACCTTCAAGTTATGACAATCACCACGTCTCTTGATTTAGTTGGTGAGTTCATTTTCATACTTTCTTTCCATTAATCAACAATTCTTTGTTTATTTGAATATGTTCGGTAGGTGCCTGGAAGGTAGGCCTATGTTGTATAGTTGCATTGCGTGTATAAACCATTGTGCCTCTTAAAGCCCCACTACACTACCTATAGCTACGTGCGCCCTCTATATAGCAAACAATGTCTAATTGGTGACCATTGGTCCCCCAATGCATGGTCCCCTTTTTCTTATGTTAATTGAGACCTGATTTGATGAGATAACCACCTGTCAGTGACCATGCAGGGAGGTCTAATCCCTCCTGGCCAACTAGTGCAGATAGGAGTTAAACTTTTAGATATATCCACCCCTGTGAAAAATTGTGAAAGTTATTCTGTTACACTGAGGAAGAATGCTTTGACGGTCAAACATATCTCCTTTTAGCTATTTTAGTTGGTAACCCAAACGAATTGATAATGTGAGACAAGATGAACTGATGTATTGGGAAATATGTTCCGAATGAAAGCCTACGATACATTTCCAATTTCCGAAATTGCCTATTTAAGACTCAAATATAAATGTAATGATATCAGTTTAAATAATAAAAATAAGAAACAGGATATTCAATAATTATATAAATGCCACTGTTGGTCAATGGAGTTTATTCTAACATTCTCAAACATATATATTCAATTTCGAATAGTAAGATGTTGTACGAGGGCCACGTACGAGTACCTATTCAAAATGAATAGATGTCATTCATATTTTGATATGTTTGATGGTGTCTTGAATGGTAGTCAAAGTGACGAGTATAGCTGTGTATTATATTGAAACAAATGGATCGGCTTTCATTAGATCTAGAGTGCAAAAGCAACTAGTCTGAAGTCAGCAGTAATTCAAAGGCCTGCAGTTACCAACCCCCTTTTATTGTTTATCATTGCCTCAATCCTTCGTTAGTATACAAATAATACACAGCAGTGAGTGCATTTGTAAAAGTTACCCACACAGTGTACCTTTGGAACAGTTAACCCGCTCGAGGCGGTAGCCGAGGGTGTTAGGACTGTTTTGAAGGTACCGAGTGTGGGTAATTTTACTAATGCCCGAAGAAAATGATGTGCATTATTTTTTTTTATTATAATATTACGTTTTTATTTGTTTTATAAAATGATGTTTTATAACATGATTTGGATAATGACCGGTCATAAGAATTGGATAATGACCGGTCATTTTCCAAATTACGCGTTAGGCAAAATAAATGCCTTGTCACGTGTACGCTTTCAACCAGTCATTTGATTAGGATCCAAGGAGGAGCCTTTACTAAGAAAATCCTTTTTCTCTTTCTATACTACAGATGATGCTTTCTTCAGCCGTGATGTGAATTTATTACTCATGGGTGTACTACTATACAGGCCTAGCTAGCTGACATTATAGTGGTAATACGAGTACCCTCCTGGCATCACGTGACAATCACATCGACTCAACCCCCTGATTTACCCCAGGAGGTCATTCATTAACCATGCTGAGGAACAACCTCATGAGACGGGATACAGCAAACGCGCGCAGAATCATCCCAGTATGCGCATTAATTAGCGCATGCGCACTATTACTCCTTATCCACAATGGAAAGGTACCATCAGTCCTTACGTTTGGTACACGCAATTCTGGATCGGAGAATATCTTACGGGAGGCGCGTAGTGGACGATACTTCTACAACCGCACCGCCATCCGCTTTAAGAAAACATCCGAGGTGCGGCAATGCTATCACCTATCGCGTTCTCTGAGGAACCAGCTCCTTGATATCGATAGTCTGGGTAGCATCGGCTGCAAACAGCGAGTACCCAATGTGATTATAGTAGGAGTGAAGGAAGGTGGAGAAGGAATACTTCGGTTTTTTCTTGATAAACACCCTTCCGTTATGTTTCCTTCATCCGATACAATCCGTTACTTCGATAGACCAACGTTCCGCAAGTTGAAGGGAATGGCGTGGTACATGGAAAAAATGCCTTACACGTCTCCTGATCAGGTTACGATCGCAATGGGCTCGGACTACTTCGCGAGTCGCGTTGCACCCGATGGCATTCGAAACGACATCGTACCAAAACCGAAGCTGCTCGTCATTCTTCGGGATCCAGTGAAGCGCGCCCTCTTAGAATACTACTCTGTTCAATCGGTGAAAGGGAATCCTCCTAGCAGCGGGTTGGTGAAAAGTGCCGGCCAGTATCCATATCTTGATAGCTTTCATCACATCGGCGATTCCTTCGCAAGTTCCGTCATCAATGACGACGGCGACGTCAATGTTTGGAACGGCGTCGTCAATGTGGGCATGTATGTGATCCAGCTCCGAAGATGGTTTGAGTGGTTTGGTAGTTCACAGGTTATGATCATCGACGGTGATCGGTTAGAAAATAATCCAATACCGGTAATGAAGTCTGTCGAAGACTTTATCGGTGTGCCCCGATACCTCAACGCAACGGCAATTAAATACGATGCTGATGCTAAGACACACTGCTTGATAAAACCATTCCAATTATGCCCTCCCGCCAAGTTATCATATCCTGCTCCAGATCAGAACACTGTCAATACATTACGATCTTTCTACCACCGTTACGATCGTCAACTCTACCAGATGCTAGGTCGGAATTTCACTTGGTTCAAAGAATCGCTTTTCGTCAACCAAACGGCGTCTTCTTTCTCCGAAACACATCAAGCAGCAGAAAAGGAAACTCCGGTTCAAGAATCGTCAGACCAATTGCTTGAAGAGGAGACTCAATAAACGGTGTTGTTGACTATAAAGAGAGAAAAAAAATAGAACCATATCGGTTCTACCTCATGCATGCAATGAGGCGCGTGGGCCTACTTGCTTAGCTGACGATAGAGAAACTGCGTCGAAGCAGGATGAACGCAACGTAAACTAAATGTGAGGCAATCGGAACGCAATATGCATGCATTGTAACTGTCGTGAGAACGTATACTGTTATTATTGCTAGATAACATTAAAACAAATTTGTTTTGAACTATTACATTATTTTGAACCTTTAACACTTTTGAGTATTGGTGTTGTTCAGCCATAATTATTTGACCTTTCAATGTTATACATTTTTTATAACTGTGTACGTTTATTGTTTTTCATGCCAGTACATCTAATTTCTTTTGTTTAACTAACTACATTAATCTAATAATATACCATTGTCATTCTGTGTTGATATCCGATTTGCAATGTTATTGAACGTATTTTCATTTTTAGTTACAAAGCGTGATAATTGGAGAAGCATCATCTGCAAAAAGGTGAGAGTGTATTTGAGGCTCTATAATATTGATGTTATCTGATTGTAATCAACTGATTAAACATGAATGGTTTCCCAGCAACAATGGTGTTTTTATTTATAATTTGATCATCGTTTATATCAGACAAGTGGAAAGTAAGAAGACCGAGAAAGAGAGAGAGAGAGAGAGAGAGAGAGAGAGAGAGAGAGAGAGGGGTGGGGGGGGGGGTGCATGGTGCGGGGCAGAAGGAGAAGCCTTACTGGAGAGGGAGGGAGATAAATAATATTTGTATTCATTTTTAATTTGATCATCGTTTATATCTGACAATGGGTAAGTAAGAAGACAGACAGACAGAGAGAGAGAGAGAGAGAGGGAGAAGGAGAGAAGGAAAAGGGGACGGCTGGGTTTAGAGGAAGGGAGGGCCGAGGGGGAGGGGGATGAGAGGAAATAGTGAGTGTGAGAGATTTAGAGAGAGGAGAGAGGACGAAGAGAGAGAGAGAGAGAGAGGGGCGGGGGGATGTTGCGGGACAGAAGTAGAAACCTTACTGGGAGGGAGGGCGATTTATAATAATTATATTTATTTTTAATTTGATCATCGTTTATATCTGACAAGGGTAAGAAAGAAGACCGAGATAGAGGGAGAGAGAGAGAGAGAGAGAGAAGGAGAGAAAGAAAAGGGGCGGCTGGGTTAAGAGGAAGGGAGGGCCGAGGAGGGGGGGGGTGAGAGGAAATAGTGAGAGTGAGAGATTTAGAGAGAGGAGAGAGGACGAAGAGAGGGAAGAGAGAGAGAGGGAGCTAATTACCACTATAGTGTAAATACACACATATATATATATATATATATATATATATAACATGAGAAAGAAAGAAAAGAAAAAAAATGAAGGATGACTGCTTTTTATAGAGACCAACGATTTGAGAGAGAGAGAGAGAGAGAGAGAGAGAGAGAGAAGGGGGCGGCTGGGTTTAGAGGAAGGGAGGGCATGCAGAGAAAGGGGGAGGGAGGAATTAAGAGGAGAGAGAGAGAGAGACAGAGAGACAGACAGAGGGGGTGGGGATGGGCTGGGTTTAGAGGAAAGGAAAGTCGAGAAAGGGGGGGGGGGATTAAGAGGAGAGATAGAGAGAGAGAGAGAGAGAGAGAGAGAGAGAGAGAGAGAATATGAGAGAGATAATTACCACAATAGTGTAAAGAAATGTATATATATATATATATAATAAGAAAGAAAGAAATAAAGAAAGAGGGGAAGACCAACGAAATTGTGCACGATTTGCATGTTTGTCCTTGCAGATATAATAGTATAGGTGCGCCTGCGTACGTAATGTTTAGTTTAGTTTAATTTATAGTTAATTATTAACTCAATCAATCACCCCATCGGGGTAGGTCTAGCCAAATACAAATATTATTAACTTGACAATAAAGGTAATATAACAAAACAAAACAAATTCTTCTTGAAAGACAAACAGTAAAATGTGATAATGTGGAAGATCATCATTCATGTAACAATATATGTATACAGGCGCGTACGCAGGATTTTTTCTTTTTTTCAAGGGGGGGGGGGGGGAGGTAAGAGGACACACAAAAAAAAAATCCAAAAGGGGGGGGGGGGTTTAGAGAAATTAAGGGGGTTTTACACAAAAAAAATTACCAAAGGGGGGGGTTTAACCCCCCAACCCCCCCCCCCCCCCCCCCCCGCTTATTCAGCGGCTGGCTGAGTCGTTGCGAAATTTTCGGCCCGATTTATAAATGTTAACCCCCCCCCCCCCCCCCCCCCCCCCCTTGAAAAAATCCTGCGTACGCGCCTGTATACATAATTGTTACATGAATGATGATCTTCCACATTTATCACGTTTTACTGTTTGTCTTTCAAGAAGAATTTGTAATTGTTTTTGTTATATTACCTTTATTGTCAAGTTAATAATATTTGTATTTGGCTAGACCTACCCCGATGGGGTGATTGATTGAGTTAATAATTAACTATAAATTAAACTAAACTAAACATTACGTACGCAGGCGCACCTATACTATTATATCTGCAAGGACAAACATGCAAATCGTGCACAATTTCGTTGGTCTTTCCCTCTTTCTTTATTTCTTTCTTTCTTATTATATATATATATATATACATTTATTTACACTATATTTACACTACACTAAACGTAGGCCTGCATTGAGGCTGTTGACTTTTAAAATACATTTATAGGTTTTAACATTGAAGTATAAAGGCCTAGATCTATGTACTTGCAAAGTCACAGATGAATAATTATGAATGTTGCTGTCTATGGATGTTTCTGTAAAGTGTACAATGGCAAGAATAATATGTGCTATTTAATGAAATATTGAACAATGATCTTGCAGAATCTAAAGTAGTATATTTAATTAAAGAGTGAATCCATTTTGAATCCATTTACAACATTATTAACAGCGGATCGGACCGTAGACTAGACTGGAACTGAGACTATTTCGTGGGGACACATTTCGGGTATGCGCTGATTTATACACGCATTTTCATGATTAAGAGCTTTTTTTCCGTCTTATTTTTGTATTTGTATCTTTATAACGATAGATACATTATAAAGGTTAAACAAACTATTGATGAAGTGTAAAGTTAGCTGGGCTTTGGTCCAACTGTCGACTTGTTCTGGAGCGCTCCTTTGACTGTAGACCGTGCTGTAGTCCCACTTGTAGTAAATGTTGTATGTTTTGATGTGATCTGCTCTTGTTTTCAGACATCCATCAGTGCACTGGCGCTGAGCTTAGCAGACGTCTGTCCTAACTTAGACCAGGGTAAGAGCTGGAACTTGGCAGGTGTGCTGAGGGTAAGACTTGATTGACCACGATGGAGCGGTCAAGAGTGAGAGATGAGCGGTCAGATGTTCTGCAGAGAGTCCGGAAAATGATGGATGAGCTGGAGGAACCACTTCAGCAGCCGACGTCGACTGCTCCTCTGCAAGACGAAGAGGAAGAAGAAGAGAACACGAGATTCACGAGCAAGCAGACAGACGTTTACGATGATGGAACAAACACATTCTTCTGGTTGGTCTCATAATTATTCAACAGCCTATCCAACCCCCCCCCCCCTCCCCTTCCAGCTCCCCTCCCCTCCCCTCCCCTCCCCTCCCCTCCCCTCCTCTTAAACAAAACAAATCCTCTCTCTTTCTCCCACTGTCCTTTTATAAATGTTTTTTTTTTAATGTCTTTTTTTTTTATTACTTTTTATTTTGAAATTGATTTAGTAAAAGGTGTAAAAGATCTGTGGATATTTTAGGGGTCATTAATTTGCACCAAAGCTTACTAATACTAGGGTGTCTGATCGCGCACCCGATGTTGTGTGCTAAAATTCTTCCCATAGAGATTACACGCATCCCCATGCAGTCGACCATGCAAAAAAAGTCAAGTTTTTTTTTTCAATTTGAGATTCAAACCTTTTTCTGTTGTGATCCTGAAGGTGATACTCAATAAATGAGGTGTCATATGAAAGAGCAGGTGAATTCCAATATTTCGAAAGGGGGGTAGCCCCCAAAATTCTAAAAATATCTTGGTCAAAACAGCAATTTAAACATTGTGTCCTGGCTAACTCTGAGGTTTGTCACTTTTGAGATATGACGCCCCAATCGATAAGTAGTCCCAGTCCTAAGGAACAATTCTATGTGCTTTTATTTTCGCTAGCCCCCAGGGATCACAACTGATAACATTTTAAAAATACCCTTCCCGCTATTTGGTGGATCAGCTAATTAGGGGGCGTGCGCTCCGCTCAGTCCAAACCATGGTTACATCGCGTAACATCTCCTCGTACGAACGAAACCCCAAATTCAATTACACATTATAGTGAATGAAAGTATGGCTAGCTATTCGCGCAATAAACCCGGAAGTGAATACACGTTATAGTCAATGGCAATATCGCGGAGACAACGTGCACGTTGTCTCCGAGATATTGCCATTGACTACAACGTGTATTTACTTCCGGGTTCTATGGCGAGAACGGCCACCCATACTTGTCAATGGCACATATCACGGAGACAGCGTGGCTCAAGCTGCAAGTCGCGCATTGGCTTAGCAACATGCGTACTATATGCATATGCTTGCATATCGCGCGATACAGCTGTTTGTCTGAATTTAGCAAAACAACATCACTCTGCGCGGATGTCTTTTTCGTCGATTTTGACCAAAATGATATGAATATACCAGCGTTTTGGAGGGGCTGTATCTTTTTATAGAAACATCGGTGAGACATGAAATTTGAAATGTTTTATTCTGATTACATTTTTTATTCAAATATCAAACAAAAATGGTGAAAAACGATCCCAAATTGAAAATTGAAAAATCGTTCAGACACCCTACTAATACTATGAACTGATCAATTACAGTGATTCATACACAATCTAGAGCTGGACATGAATCAGTAGAATATTTAAACATTTTAATTTGTCTGTATTAACCAATTTCCTTCTGTAATTGAGTGGTCCCTGTGTTATGTGTATGGGCATGAGAGAACTCAGTTGTTGACAGGTTAAAGATAAACTTGAGTTCTGGTAAAAAAAAAAGGAAATGAATTCACACAGAATCAAACAAAACTTAAACTCAATCATGTTCAAGATTACAAATAAATGCCATTTGCCAAACAATTTTGGTGGAAAATGTATACTTGCTGAGTAATGAGCATAGAAAGATAAGGACATCAAGGTAAGTTAACCCCGACACCATTTGTAGTCCCATATACATGTACATCTTTCTGTGTACAGTGCTTGTTACTTTACCAAGACTGGGCCAAATCTATAATGATTTTGATGACTCCAGAACCTTGCAGTACACACCAATACTTACATGCTACATGATCAACTTTTTCTGATCATTCCAAACCTTTTGAAGTTTTCTTTCACAATGCAATCGCATGACCAGAACTCAACTTTATCTTTAATACAAACTATGTATTTCAAATAAATATCCAGTCTTTCATCCTGTTTTTGATGTTGCAGGCGGGCCCATTCAATCACTGTGTTGGTTGGAATGCTGGCAGCTCTGGTTTATGTTGCTGCCGTTGAAGATGTGAAATTAGACACAGCATTCAATATAAAGAGGTAAGACCTGTGGTCTAGTGGATAAGCCAAGGGGCTGTAGATTGCAAGGTACGGGGTTCAAATCCCAGCCCGGCTGGCAGACCTTTTGCATGATGTTAATCTACATTTGCCACTCTCCACCTAGGTGTGAAATGGGTACCCGGTAGAATGCGAACGTTAATGTAGTTTGCTCAGCATTGTGAGCGTCTATTCGATGACGCCTGGCTGGAATGCTCCCCAGGGAGTGGAAAATGTGTGCATACATTGTGTGCAGGCAAGCCTGAATCTGATGACCAGGGTAATAATATATCTGTAAAGGCCTTAGAGCCATCCTTGATGTATGAAGCGCTATATAAACGCAGAATATTATTATCGTTCTTATTATTATTTGACAGTATTTATTTGGAAGCATGAAACTAGATTCAGCATTCATATCAAGGAGTAGCTGTTCACATTCGACTCTAGGTTTTGTTTAACATGTGGTCAATCATTGAAAACAACATTGAACACCAGTCAGTAAAGAGAAAAGAATACGATATTGTGGTCACATTAACTCTAGGTAAAGCTAGATGAAGCTGAAAATGATTATGCTTTTATTTACTTCACTGTGGCACCTCGCACTAACCCACAACACATCATTATCCCAAGAATGCTTCTAGGAGCTGCTGAAAGGGATTACTATGAACCCTGTAAGTTGGGGCTTTGATCCGATCGGAAGATCGGAGCGACACCCTCGCACCTGTGATCGGTATCGGCGAAAAAAAATCAGTATTTTTTTTTTTTTTAATGCCGAGAATGTTAAAGTCTTGGGCTATCAATTGCTTTAAAAATGCATAGCTGGGAATATTTTCAGACCATGTTTGTTGATATTTAGTGCCTTTTCATGACTTTGATATTAATAATATTGGTCTAAGAGAAGAGGCAAAACATGCAGGCCGCCATCTTGGATTATAATGTAGGCATGCATTACAATCCAAGATGGCGATCAGAAATTATTATCCGATCTCACCTGATTGGCTCAAGATCTGCCCCCGATCCGATGATCTGTTACAGGTTCCAAGGCTCAAGTTACCTTGTCTTTTTCTCTCTCCTTGATTGCAGAGGTATGACTGCGTGTGTGATAGCGTTCTGTATGTTTGGAATGACCCAGGCTAAAGACGGACCGTTCAAGCGACCTCATCCAGCAATATGGAGGTTCTTCCTGTGCCTTAGTATCATATATGAACTCTTTCTTGTCTTTTTATTATTCCAGGTATTTATTTTGTATTAGACTTGAGTTGAGTTGAGTTGAGTTGTCAAACATTATCTGCCTCTATCTCTCTCTCTCTCTCTATCTCTCTCTCTGTCGCTCTCTCCCTCTCCCCTCTCCTTAGCATCCTTAACATCATCTATGAACTTTTTCTTGTCTTGTTATTATTCCAGGTATTTATTTGATTACACTTGAGTTGAGTCGTCAAACATATGCCTCTATCTCTCTCTCTCTCTCTCTCTCTGTCTCTGTATGTCTTTGTGTCTGTGTGTCTGTGTGTCTGTGTGTGTGTCTCTCTCCCCCTGTCTCCCCCTCTCCTTAGCATCCTTAACATCATCTATGAACTTTTTCTTGTCTTTTTATTATTCCAGGTATTTATTTGATTACACTTGAGTTGAGTTGTCAAACATATGCCTCTATCTCTCTCTCTCTCTCTCTCTCTGTATGTCTGTGTGTCTGTGTGTCTGTGTGTCTGTGTGTGTCTCTCTCCCCCTGTCTCCCCCTCTCCTTAGCATCCTTAACATCATCTATGAACTTTTTCTTGTCTTTTTATTATTCCAGGTATTTATTTGATTACACTTGAGTTGAGTTATCAAACATATGCCTCTCTCTCTCTCTCTCTCTCTCTCTCTCTCTGTATGTCTGTGTGTCTGTGTGTCTGTGTGTGTCTCTCTCCCCCTGTCTCCCCCTCTCCTTAGCATCCTTAACATCATCTATGAACTTTTTCTTGTCTTTTTATTATTCCAGGTATTTATTTGATTAGACTTAAGTTGAGTTGTCAAACAATATCTGAAAAATAACAGAAAAAGAAGACATGATTACATCTACTAAGAGTATAGGATGGAAAAAGGTGCATCCGTAAAAGCCTCAGGGGCTTGATGAATGGGCGCACCCTGAGCGCGTCATAATATAATTAACAATAAAAAGCTCAGTCAGCTGGAGAAGAGTAAAGGGATAAACAACGCTTACAATATATCATTTAAGAAGAGCTATACAATGACAAGAAGAGCTGCTAAAGTTTACGTTTAAATGGTTTGGTGAACTGAATAGATTGTAAAGAATGTGGTAATGTGTTCCAAACTTGAGGGCCGTCATGGTGTAGAGAAATTGCTAGAAGATACTTTCCACTGGTGACTGGTGTAACGTAGAGGCATTCCTTGTATTGTATTGTAATTGTATGAACAATCAATGAAAAAATTGTAATGTGATTCAAAGCTTGTTTTGTGAAACTTATCTATGATGCTATTCATAAACGTGTTAACGCTGTAAATGTCAATCTCCTACTGTATGACCTTTGTACAGTCTGTTGATGATGCCCGACAGCTGATGAGCTCCATCGACCCAGACCTTGGCAAGGAGCTTCCAGAGAAGACGTACGCTGAGGACTGCAGCTTCTACACTCCGGGACACCAGGAAGGAACCTTCCATAACTTCTGGGTGAGTTGATGCCTCGGTAACGTTGCCTCAGATTCTGAAACAAAACCCTGGATTTAGCTTATGCTGCAATCCTAATTATAAACCTTTAGGTCAGTCAGGAATCCCATGAATTTTACAAGTGAATCAATGGATATCAAAATTTCATTTTTTGTTTTTATTAACGGTTTTAATAACACTACAGTCTATTGGGGAAGATGAGTATGGTAAAACCGGTCACTCAAAGATTTTTACTTTTTGAGGTACTTTATGATCATTTTGAAGGGCAATGTTTTTAGGGCTTCAATATTACACCACATCACAGACACTGATAACTTGTAGGGCCATGCATCTCAGATTTAACATTGTTGAATGATGCCTTTAACTAAGTGATACTGCTATGTTGATCTAATTATAAAAGCATGTTTTTAATATTACCAGGACAATGCTTAAAACCTTTGTCTGCCTTACAGCCCAATATTGAGGTTTCTGCTTATTATTTTCCTCACCTCCAGGGAAAAATGGACATCTTTGTGTTGGCTCACGTCCTAGGCTGGTACTTCAAGGTATGTATGTATCTATTTATGTATTATATCACTGTTCACATGCAATGAGTCAATCGACACACCTATGACAAAATGGTGAAGAAGATTTTTGCTAAAATTGATTTTCCTCATATTAACAGAGGCCTTTCCACTTTTTTTCATATTTGTCATGAATTTAAGAAATAAAAAGTGTCTGTTTCCTTCCTTAGGGACAAAAACATGTTTTTTTTTTTTTTTCTTCTCCACATTAAAGGTACTACCGGGTACATGTATGTCCTTTTGCAGGCCCAAAAAATAAAAAGGTTAAATTCCAATGGCATTTGAAAGATAATACTAATTTAGAACTCCCCTTAAAAGAATGGGGCTTGAAACTGATGACTATTTGTTGTCAAATCGACTTAGGAGCTATAGGGCCAATAAATAATAGTCTTGATTTTCAGACCATTGTACCGCATGGTCGTACGTTTCATGCTGTGCAAAGATTCAATCAGTTTAATTTTGGCCATTACAAGAAGTGGGTTATTGTAGTAGACAAATCCTTTACAGCTCATTTTATGTACATGTTATTACCAAAGAAGAAGAAAAAGCCAGTCAGTCACTCAATACTGACAATAGTGTCTGACAGTGAAGTCTAGCAAGTAAACAAGTTTTCTTGCATAATTTGAATATAAGGACACTGCTGAGGTTTAAATTTCACAGATAGGATATAGATTCTAGATCTAGATCTACATGACATAGAAGACCTATTCAAATTCCTTGCAAAGTTCTACAGAATTTGAGGTTGGCTGCAAAAGGGACTTAGTATCTTTAACACGTACAAAATAACTTATGATCACATTATCATTAAAACCTACAGATGGATTACTATCAAACTCAGGACATGTTTGTATCTTGCAGAGCCAATGAACTTATTAGATTTAATAGGGTCATAATGTCAAAGATCAAGGGTCATACATGTACATGAAAAATATTTTGTAATCGTGATTTTCTGAGAAAATGTTAGTGGATTACAATCAAACTTGAATTTAGAAAATGGCTTCTGTTTTGGTTCGTTAAATTGCTCTATGGGGGAGGCATCATTTTTTACTGCATGCAGTCGAAGGTCCATCTAGTTTTATTACAATACTGTTAATCATATGAAAATATAATTTATGAATGAATTTATCCTTATTATTCTTAAATGTAGATGCTGATGATCCGAGATTACTGGTTGTGTAATATATTGAGTATTGCGTTTGAGCTCATGGAATACAGCCTTGAACATCAACTCAACAACTTTGGGGAATGTTGGTGGGACCATGTAAGTAAATAATCCAGATATCTGCCATCTTCTTTGAAATGGCAGATTCTTCTGAATTTCTTTTATCTAAAATAAGACTAAATGGGGCTAAAAATAATATTTTTTTAAAGGGCCACAATTGTGAAATAATATACCTCATCATATAAAATCTAGTCCATCAATTAATGATTTTTAATCCAACAATATAAATTTAAGAAAAATATGTTATACACGGTTAGGTTTTTTTCTTTCTTCTTCTTCTTCAACTTAAGTCTTAGATGTGTCTGGTGTATTTTGATGTTGTTTGAGTTTACATACCAGTCAAGCTGGCACAGATATGTAATTTCTTTTAAATATTTACTTCTCGCTCTCTCTCTCTCTCTCTCTCTCTCTCTCTGTTTCTCAATGTTTAGTGGATCTTAGATTTCATTATCTGCAATGGTCTTGGTATCTGGCTTGGTATGCTGACCCTCAACTATCTCAACATTAAGACATACAGCTGGAGGGGACTATATCATATACCATCCTATGGGTGAGTTCATTGTTTTTACTATCATTACTGGGCCCCGTCTTATAGAGTTGATATCAATCAGAATATCAATCGCAAACACAACTCTGTACATAAGAGATAGGACACTGCAAACTTGCGATTGATTTAGATCAATCGTAAGTCTTTATTGTCATCATCAAAGGTCGTCTTCAACATGCATCTGAAACCATACCTCTACAATTCTTGTCCATGTGGTCTTTGTAGACAGGTGGTCAGTAAAGCAGGTTTAACCGTAATACCATAATGAACAAGACTGTTCAATTCAATCCACTTTCTAGCTGTCTCCACATTCATATGACGTTGTTGTATCCGATTGTAATGTTTTTCTTTAACTTGTACACTATAGGCGGTGTCGCACAGAAAAATCCCTTGAAAAATCCCTTGAAAAATCAGAGATTTTTCAAGGGAGAATTTTCTTGCTTCGTTAGAGGATTTTTGAAGGGATAATATTGATGACAGACAGCAAGTAAGAGGATAACTAAAATCTGGATAACTAAAATCCAGATTTTTGGCCTCTGTGTGACACCGCCTTATGTTTTATATTTTGTATGTTTGTATAATGAATGAAATAAAGATCAATTAATAAAGCCACTGTTCAATTCAATCCACTTTCTTTCTGTTTTCTTTTTTCCATCAGAGGAAAGCTAAAGCGGATGATCCTTCAGTTCACTCCATACAGCTGGACTAGATTTGAATGGAGACCGACGGAGAATCTCAAGAGATGGATAGCTGTGCTAGTCATTTGTACAGTGGTATGAACACCATTCCATGTTTGTGCCATATTCTCTGACCCTCCAGTTTTACCTTTCCTCTCTTCTTCTCTTCCCCCCAATGCTGTTTTACAATATAACATAAACAAAGTAAACTTAGAAAATCAATAATTAGAAACAAATATATAGTTAAAAGGAGGCACGATAGCTCAGTCGGTAGAACAGTGGTCTTGTAATCCGGTCACCCGGGGTTCGAAACAAAGGCGATGCGCTAGTGCCCTTTGGTAAGACATTAGTCCTCATTACCAAGTCCCTCAGAGAGGGCCGTCTACAAGCCTTTGTGCTTTCTTAGCAGTCAGGTAAAATAACCACCACCATTCATTAGGTTTGACTGTACTATTTTTGTTTTCTTCAGTGGACTCTGGTTGAGCTCAATACCTTCTACCTCAAGACTGTGCTGTGGATCCCTCCACCTCACTTCATCAACTGGGCTCGGCTATTTATCCTCGTCCCTGTAGGCTCCGTGGCCTTGAGGGAGACATATCAATACATCGAAGATCCGTAAGTGACCTATCTTTGATAACAATAGAGTACTGAAGCTGTGATATCATAAAAATCTATTTTTAGAATTTCTCAATTTTGTTCTTCATTTCCAACATTAAAAAAAAAGAAAGAAGATTTTTGACGGCGTCACACTTCACCACTCTACAACTACAGGGAAACCTGTATATAAAGATCACTCGAGGGAAACATGGAAAATGGTCTTTGTAGGCACGTTGTCTTTAAGTACAGGTTCCTTTAATTCAGGTTTCAATGAGAAACCATGTTCAAGTGAAACAAAAAAAACATGGTCTTTATAGTCAGGTGGTCTCTCTACACAGGTGGTCGCTAAAGCAGGTTTGACTGTATATTAACATTGCAAACATATCCATCCAAAGGGATGCCCAAAGTAGTATTATTACCCTGGCTTTAGCCCAGCTGCTGTAAGATCAGACAGCATTTAAGGAATATCTTCCTAACAGGTAACCATGTGCTACACCCAGGTGGAGAGTGGCAAATTTAGAGTCTTGCCCCAGGACTTTAGTGCTTCAGAGAGACCCAGACTTCAAACAATGTGAATCATTGGTCTGGTTGCGTATCCACTAGACCATGAAACCTCTACTGTGAGGTTGAAGACACATACTCTAGGTACAGGAAGATTGGTCTGGGGAGTGTTTCATAAAGCTACAGTATAAAATCAAGTCAAAACCAGCACGAATATGCACATATGGGACTACGAACGGTAAAATAACTATACCACTATGGTACAGGAAATTTCAACACATCTTACCAACAATTTTATCTTGCATTGTTGACATGAATATGAAAATAAATTGCTAAACTAACATTTGCCGATAGATCTTGATCTAAATTCGTGCCAATGCATTGCAAAAGTAAAGGAAGGGACCATTTAACAGAGCTGCTGCGAAGCATCCATCCGAAGTCGCCATTTTGTTTTCCATTTCATGCAGTTTCACATTACACCGTACATTGTGGTAGGGGTATATATCGGACACCAAATCTGCCCACGATCACTTTTTGAGCTAAACTTCCGGTAAATTATAAGAATATTGATGAATTTGGTATCAGTTTGTAAAAAAAAAATAGTGTTTTACGAGAAAATTACGATTATTTTGTTTTGTCCGTTGGTTTTTTTTTTTCCTCTTTGAAATGTCAAAGTTGGGGTGCAGCCTATGCAGGGGTTCGTCCTTATCACGGCAAATACGGTACTTGTAAAGTTACGCATGACTTAAATATGAAAAGCCAAATGGGATGCTCAATCATTTTTGTCTCGCCTGCGTTTTTCCGGTGACGGCGGCGGCGTCAAAATCAAAAACTTAACCTAAGGTTAAGTTTTTGAATTTTTGATATAATTTTGAAAGTATAAGTTCTTAGTCAATGAAACTTGGACTATAGGGTAATCAAGTATCCCCAATCATGTGAGCAGAATTCAGGTCATTAAGTTAAGGTCAAAGGTCATTTTAGGTCAACAAACTTAGACTTTTTTTGTGGCATCAACATCAACATTTTTTGCCATATTTTGATTGAAGTTATTGGAAATATAGTCACACTTTGTTAAAACATCAGGAAAAAGCCAAATGGGATGCTCAATCATTTTTGTCTCGCCTGCGTTTTTCCGGTGACGGCGGCGGCGTCAAAATCAAAAACTTAACCTAAGGTTAAGTTTTTGAATTTTTGATATAATTTTGAAAGTATAAGTTCTTAGTCAATGACACTTGGACTATAGCTAATCAAGTATCCCCAATCATGTGAGCAGAATTCAGGTCATTAAGTTAAGGTCAAAGGTAATTTTAGGTCAACAAACTTAGACTTTTTTTGTGGCATCAACATCAAGATTTTGAATTTTTAGCATATTTTCAAAAGTGTTTGTCTAAATTCCATGAAACTTATACCCAAGGGTTATCAAGTATCACAAGTCATATGACACAAATTCCAGGTCACAAGGTCAAAGGTCATTTTAGGTCAGTAGACTTGGATTATGTTTTCACAACTTAATATGAGAATAAATGAATAAATTTTTCTTATTTGTTCATGATTCTTAATCAATATTCACTTCAAAATGCTGATTATATTCAGAGAATTTCATTTTTTGGGGCCTGCTAATGGGCCACCCTGCCTATAAATAATGTTCCAACCTCAATTTTTCATCATATCGAATTGCGTAATGCAGGCGAGAGCGCCGAGAGCGTTTCCCTTGTTAACTGCATCAACTAAAGTTGAACTATGCAGATGTAGATTAACATTCTTGTTTTAAAAAACATTTATAATGCAAAGTATATTTTTTGCCATATTTTGATTGAAGTTATTGGAAATATAGTCACACTTTGTTAAAACATCAGGAAAAACTTTGGGCATCCTATCTGGCACTTCATATTCAAGTCCTTCATGAAGTCATGGGTAACTTTACGAACAGCTTTATAAAACACCCCCAGCACTCATTGCAGTCATCTGAAACACTGTTTACTGTTCAGACTTTCCTTGTCAAAAAGAAACTGAAAAGAAACTGAAATTTCTTCCGTTCTTATTTTCCTTATCAGGTACTGCAAGAAGTTTGGCCAGCAATCGTGGGTCTTGGTTGCTATCACCATCAGCGAGACTCTCATCTCGGTCAAGTTCCAGTTTGAGGTGATCACCAAGCCCTTACCCCGTCCCATCGCTATGGCCTGGTTGATCTTTTTCTTAGTCCTAGTCCTCTGGACCATCTGGCGATTCTGCATCTGGTCTCCGACCCGATGGCACAGCTCCAGCCATCCTGACCCCCAGGACGCTACCCATGGCAATGGTCAACTGGACGGAGAGGAGAAGGAAGTCACTCGGACGGTCAAGACCACCAAGATGGTCAGCTCGGTCACCAAGCGCAGTTCCGCATCGTCTCGCGTCGTAGGACCAGACGGAGACGGTGTGGACAATGGTCTGGACAACCATGGCAGCCCTTATGCAACAAGGTCGAAAAAAGGGGTGGTCAATGGAAAATAAAATTGTGATCTCTGAAAGTAAATTATGTAACACATACACATGCAATAGGCATTGTTATGTGCTGATGTGAAATATATTTTTAAACGTTTTCTACACCTTTTTCTCTCTCTGAAATCTTTCCCTTTAAGGAACACCCGTAACTTTAACATGATAGTGAATTTCACTCTGCACTATTAATTGTTGCATGGTTGATTATGCACAATGAAACAAAGTAACTCTTCCTTGTTCATGAAGCACTTATTGTCAGACAATAATTATTTTATATACTTTTGGGACAATGTCATGGGTTATTAATAGAATAATTAAGAATACCATTGGTGGTACAGTGTACTAGATTCATCCTTATGTTAACCCTAATAAGGCCGGGGGGGGGGGGGGGGGGGGGGCCATTATGGCCCCCCCCCTCCACAATTTTTCTGATTGCTCGGGAACGCATATGGATGGCGCCCCGCCGCTCGCTGACTTTTTTCTTACGAGTCTTGCGCAACTTTTGAAATAATTTTTTTGAAAATCGGACCTACGGTTACAAGGTCACGTGACCTTTTGTCTTTGCATGTCAGCCTGAAAATCGCTCATTTTCGTGATTTGTGTACAAAACGTATGGCAAAGTCATTTTTCCAAAAAATAGATCAAACATGGGTTATTGGGTCTTGTTTAAAGTTTAGGTGGTTGTTTTGGGAGTCAAAATAGTTGAATTGTAGTAAAAGATGAAATAAAACAACAAAAACAATGAAATACATAAGTTAAAAAAACAATGAAATACATAAGAAATTATCAAAACAAGGGATAACATAAGAAATAAGCTGGCTCTTCCAAAATTTTTGTTGTATTATTATTCAGAATGGTCTAATGAATATATCTAGTGAAAAAGAATGCTTAAATATGAATAATATATGATTTATGGGTAAAAATGTAATTTTTATGACTTTATTTGCATAAATTACCATAAATATGCAAATGAGTGAATTTTTCAAAAAATTGAAATTATCATATTATTCTTTACACTTCACTTGACATGTGTGCAAATTTTTGCGGCGATCGGCCGCTTTGCGGCCGAGATCTTAAGGGGGGGCCATAATGGCCCCCCCCCCCGGCCCTACTAAGACTTCAAATAGCCCGGTCCTATTAGGGTTAAAGATAAATGTGACTTCTTGTAAATATAGAAAATATATTCACAGAATCCAACAAAACTTACACTGAATGTTCAAGATTACAAATAAATGACATGTGCCAAACAATGTTGGTAGAAATGAATACCGGTAGTGGCTGAGTAATGAGCATAGAAAGATAAGGAAATCCGGGACACCATCTGCTTAACACAGGTCGCTATGTACAAATGGGAGCTGTGGTTTTTATCGAAGACGATGCCCAGTAAGTTTTTGTGCATTTGTTTTTATTTTGATGGTTCAAACATCCAATCTACTGCAGGATAAACAATCCAAAACAAATCATAGCAATTTTCTCTGAATGATATAATATAGGATTCCCATACCAGAGCTCAAGATTAGCTTTAACGTTGTTACGAGGTGTACTAAATTGGTGTATGTATAAAGAATTTAACGGTAGAGCTAGCCAGAATAGTTGCCTTATCTTGTACTTTGTGATAAACTAACTGGTTGAATGAAACATTGCAGTAACATAACTCTTTGATTGAATATCATTTATTGTCTCATCGATTTGTGAAAATGCCCCCCCCCCCCCCCCCCCATGTCAGACATGGAGTAACAAATTATCTTGAAAATTGGTATATGAATAGAGTAACTCAATGCGAATATTAACATGAAATGTTGTATTCCTAGCTCAAAGCATTTTAAAAAGATCAACTCATTAATTATTCATATATATATGTGATAAGGATTCATGATATTTTATGAATTATGTGTCATCATCACTGGCTTTAAAAATTTCTGCAAAATTATTGCAAACAATTAATGGGAGTGAAGTAAAATCCCCCCTCCCCTTTTGGGGTAAAGGATGTATTTATTTAATTTATAGATATCTTTTATTGAAATAATTAGTGAAAGCATGTTTTTTTATTTAGTGCCTACTGTATTTGAAATGTTAGGCAATTATGAGTTCTGGTATCATCAGGAAACCTTTCCAAAGAACAACTTTGTGATGTTATGCAATAGTATGGAAGGTGCATGTCTGTTTCTCAAGTTCAATCTTTCTTGTATTGGGGTATGTAATCCTTGTTATTGTTGTATGAATGCAATATACTTAATTTTCAATTTTTACTGACTTGTGTGATTTATGCTTTTAATTCCTCATCTAAATTCTAAAGACGCATAGAAGTCGGCTCTCATGGGGAATTTGACACCGTTCGAGTGATTACCCAATAACAGGTGTTGTCAATCACCAGGGTTAGCCTTCAGTTTATGACCAATTATGACCATTGGACCTTATGTAATGCTTTAGTTTTCCCTCACCCGAAGACTCTCCGAGAGACTAGGGGGTATTTCTTGATTGGCCTACGAGTTTAACTTGCTGTGTGCCGACTTGTACTCCCAGTAACGGTATTGCCACCAAGTCTGGTGTCAGCGAATTATGGCCTTCTGCACATGGAAACTAACGACCCATTCCCTTTTAAGGAACCCACTATTGAAGAACGAATCAACCCTGCTTTGGTTTATAACAGCGAATTTAAATCAATAGAAAAGATGATGATGTCATTACTAGTGCATTGTGGAAGCAGCCTTAGGCCAGCATAACGAATGTAATAGTGTAATACTAGTAGTTTGTTGGCCCAATCAATGCTGTTCTTCCGGAGGGCCCTACAGGTAATATTACCCCTGCACTTACCAGGCACAACCCATATACACCTGGGTGGAGAGTGGCAAATGTGGATTAATGTCTTGCCAAAGGATGCTGATGCTGGATTACTCTGAGGGCCAAGTCTGTGTGTGATTCCTTTCAAGCCCCACTCTACTACTTATAGCTACTTGTGCCCTCTATATAGCAAACAATGTCTAACCGGTGCCTGTTGGTCCCCCATGATCCTCTTTTTCTTATGTTAATTTAGAGCTTATTTGATGAGATAACCACCTGCCAGTGACCTTGCAGGGAGGTCTAATTCCCCCTGGCCAAACTAGTGCAGACAGGCTTTAAAGTGAAGGTTGACTTATTGTAACGGGTAGGAAAAATGGTGCACATTCTTTCCAATTTGTTAGATTTATGTAAGAGAATTTCCTGTTTGAAGCATGCTGTATGTTCGGTAAGATTAAATACAGTTAAAGGTAAAGACCAGTTATGGTCATGCGTTTGCATTGTGAAAGAAACGTTGTGGAATCGATCAGAAAAGGTTGATCATCTAGCATCTAGCATCTGCAAGATTCTGGAATCATCAAAATGATAAGAAATTTGGCCCATTCTTCGCAAAGTTACAAGCACTATACAAAGAAAGATGTATATGGGACTACCCTATATCTCTCACAGACCATGAGAGAAACAAATTTACCAAATATATAAATTAGTAGGCGGTTTCCCGGCAAATTTTTTATCATCATGTATTAGTCAAAACATATTCTTTCACATGATTGGTAATGAGAGCTTCCATTTCATTTTTTGAAATTGGGGCGTTTCCAATACTGGTCTTTACCTTTAAGGTTCGTATGATTAGTAAAGAAAATCTGTGATATGATTTACTTTGTCCTTTTAAAATTCACTCAATATTTTGGCATCTAAATATTTTGCACATCACTGTATTCACTGATGCAGGACAAAGTAAGATTGTATTTTTCCAGTCTCATTTCCATGATCTTTTCATTTCTTGAACTCAACCTTAGCTTTGGAATGCTCCCCAGGGAGTGGGGATGTGCGTACTCTCTTTACTGGAAAGCACTCACAGACATTATTGATGTACTAAGCACGTTACAAACCTAAATATATAATGTATTTGTTAATATTTAAATGTGGTTTATGTAACCTTTGAGATGTTTGTTTCAATCACACAATCATGTGTAAGAATTGTTTGTGTATCAGAATATTTTGGCACGACTTCTCAACATCTCAACATAACTTATCGTAGAATTGTCATACTCGAGTGGTTTAAGTACTTGACTTGAAATTCAAAGGTCTTGGGTTCGATCCTGAAACTGTACTAATGTCCTTTGGCAAGGCATTAATCTACACTTGCAAGCCAATACCCAAGAGATATGAAGACATGGTAGGATGACGAAAGCATTTGTGTTAGTAATTGCCATATGCCCTCACGGTGACCATATGGTAAGAATACTCACCAGGGAGTGGAGATGGTGCACATTGTGCGTGAATGAATCCGATGACCGGGTAATAATATCTGTAAAGCGCTTTATAGAGATGGTATTTTGTATTAAAGCACTATATAACTCAAGATTGTTGCTATTATTATAACTTCCATAACTTCTCATGTCATTTTTCATTCTTTACATTTATATTCTGTCTTCTCATTGATAACTGTGTGTGATTTTGAGGAGAGCTACATTTTTGAGGTGTCATAATTTATTGGCTTTTGATTGAGAAAAGTTCTACACTCTCCTCGATATTTTCAATTTTCCACCGTTTTATCATGTGTGCAGGACTAATTAATATTATGCATTAAGAATCTATGGGGTGTATGTTGTTCTTTGCTATCTTATCGTGCAGTGAAATTATCTTCCTAAATTTATGAATGGTAATTAATTGGTTGATGCTATTTACATTGGTTGGCATGGTGGGAATCCAATCATGCAATTGGAGAAAAAAAAATCGTGAAACGAAGTGTCTTTTTGTCACATTCTTGCAATTTTAATATTAAAAGCACTAATGGTACTGCATACATGTGAAGCTTGGTTGTGTCTTTTATTCGTGTTCTGGTTTTGTTTGGTGTAATTTTTATCATCCCTACCACTTGTTCTCTCTCTCCCTCTCTCTCTCTCTCTGTCCCTCCCTCTCTCTTCCGTCTCACTCCGTCTTGTGCCTGACATTAGTATCTCTGTCTAGATCTCCACCTCCCCCTCCCCCTCCCCCTCCCCCTCCCACTCCACGCCCCTCCCTCCTCTCTCCCTACATGTCTTTCTCATTTTTCCCTCAGCTATATACCTATGTCTCTCTTGGCAATCTCATCCAATATCTGAAATATCAAACTTTGTTTTTCATAATCAATTTTATTTATCATTTTAGTACATTGTGGTACATTAGAGACGATTCGATACATGAGCTTTGTCAGTCATTAATCAAACAAATTCTACTACAAATCAAAGTGAAAATAATGTTTACAAACATTATAAAACAAACAAATCTCTTCTTCCCGCTCCCCACCAGAGAAAGACGTATTAAACCGCCAATCATCCAGAAGGTAGGTGGACACAACTTATCGCTACAATAAAAAAACAAAACACTAGGCCTACGTTGAAGTTGTTTTTATTGCTTTATATATTTTTACTTCCAGGTAACTAAGATACGAAACCACAAAATTAATAAGCTTGTATTTCCATGACAACTGCATTTCACTAAATGTTGACTTTTTAAAACCTAGCTGGAACACGTGGATTTTATCAAAAGGTTTATTGTTCAATATCACGTGTACTTCCAAGTAAATTAAATAATGCAAACATACAATAAAATCAGTTTAGCATGATAAATGCAACCCACCAAATGTTGATTTTTTTTTTTAGGGAAGATGTAATCCAATCTAATTATTGTTTGCTATTACAATAACCAACTTGATAAAAGGAAAACAAATAAACGAATATTATATCAAAAGTGCATGCAGATGTATTTACAAATGTAAAAATATGTGTTTAGGCATTTTGTAATCAAAATGTAATTAAGCAATCTACATGTATTCATTTGCAAAGGAAATTTAAGAACAACTATTTGGGTATAGTACTTTTTACATATCATTGGGAATAATACAAGATGTATTTTAAAATATGATCATTTCCTTATGAATTGTTGCTTCCGTTGTTCAATGTTTAATAGTTCTTTAAAGATTGTACGTCATTTTCCATAAGTGGCTCGGTACGACTCTATGATTGGTCGAATCCCAGATTGAAGACACTCCCACTTGCTCATTTAATAAACGTCGATGGCACTAATTACGCAGCACGTGACCCACATGGCTAATATCTGTAAAAGAAAAGGAAGAAAAATCGAAAAGGATATTATAAGCCTTGCAATCTGTCTCCAGTGAAATTTGTTTGAATTACATTTTAAATCATAATGCCGACAGCGTTGTTTAATTTTGTAGGGTCAGATTGACATAATATGCACCCTTAACGTAACGGAGTCACTACAATTATGACAGGCATGACGCATAAAACAAGCTTTTTAACATCAAACACTTTTGTTGACTAGGAATTTGGCTTGTAAATGATCAAAAAGAAGAAGGAAAAAAACACAAGTGGGATCCGTTTCACCAAGCCGTTTTTCAATAGCAATTGACAAATGACAAAAATCAGTGACAAATTTGCTGATAACCAATCAGAACCAAGGACTTCACTAGCTTATAATAATAATAATAATAATATTTAATTTCTATATAGCTTATAACAAGAACAGTCATCTTTTTTTTTTTTATGGTCAGTTTTTATTCTTTTCTCTCTTGAAACAAATTATAATCATAGTACAAGTTACAATCATCATATGTAACGCTCACTGCAAATGTGATGACATTATAAATCAGTATAAATTTTTGTCTTACAAACGGCTTCAAAGAAAACTTACATAGTTAGTTCCTATACATCATATTCGACACAAAAATTCATATTTTCAAAGAAAACATATGCAGTTATATAATCCAACATTTTTGTTTTAACAATGTAGCAACTTATACTTCTTTTATACTGTTGTCCTGAGAAAAAAGTTTTCTCTTTTTGTTAACTCTACCCTACCCGACCTCTCCCTTATTCCCCTCCCCCCCCCCCCCCCCCTCTTAACCGGTGGACGACTGGCTCTGGGTTCCAACTGTTGTCTAATACTCAGGTTTTCCCATTTAGAAAAATGAATAGTGAGAGTTCCCCTCATTGCTGCCAATTTCCTTTCTTCTACTTTATCCCCTATTATACTATTCTTTATTTCATTAAAAGAGGGTGGTTTTTTAAGTTCTCTATTTCTATAAATCAGATATTTAACAAGAATTAAAACATGATTCATTAATTGATATTTTCCTTTATTACTCTCCTCTTTCCCATACAGAATTTCCTCCAAACTACAGTTATGTATTTCAAAGTCTAAAAATCTCGTGCACATTCCCCACACTGATTGTGCAAATTCACAAATATAGAATAAATGTTTATATGTTTCTTCATCTTTTTCGCAAAATGAGCATAACTTAGTCGAGACAAGACCAAAACGGAAGAGGTGATGGTTTGTATATAATATATTATGTATAAGTTTGAACTGAAACTCTCTTAATCGACTGTTAAGTGTACACTGTCTTAGTCTTAAAAATATGTTTTCTATTTCCTTACAGGAAAAACAATAGTTCCTTCCAATTCTCTCAAAAACCAAAGGTTTAAAATCATCTTTCTTTATTAATTGTACATAAATTTGTTTTGATTTTAGATCAGCTATATTAGTTGTTTTCTTCCCCAAAGTGAAATCAGTTCCAGAATTATTTTTTTCTTCTCCCTTTCTAACATTATTTTTCCAACAAACTGGTAAACAGGCATAAAAGTGCTTGATCTCTTCAATTTCATTTACTTCAACACCTAAATCGATAAAATGCCTGTCACATTTTAGTTTACCATCGTTTTCCAGAATATGTTTTAATTTGTAAATTCCTTTGTCATACAACCTCTTATCGTATATACAACTTCCTTTATATCGAATAAGTTTATTATTAAAAATTACCACATCACCAATGTCTATACTCCTTATATGTCTTGTATTGTCATCTGTGACAGTCATCGATGACGAGTTTTGTGAAACGGGGCCCACTAGTTCTACAATAAATAATCTTTATAGTAAAATGTGAGGTTCATAAACATTTATGTCATTGTGTTGCCAACATTTGTGAGATAAAGTTAGTGTGCTTATCCGATTTTCTTCAATAACATGTGCTAATTAGGATCATTGGTGTCACCACAATTATAATGAGAATGAGTGGAAACATCACAGAAGACAGTGTATTAAACATTGGATACAATACGGAGACAGAGAAACCAGCACCAGACTTAAAATAGTAAAACAAAATGACCAGATATCATCAATTATTCCACAATGAATACAGATTAGAATAAATAAAGGTTTCCCATTTATATTTTGTATCAATAACTATTGCCTTAATCGTACAATAAGCTCACTACTTACTCAGTTAATTATTATGAAGTTCATTGCGATATGAAAATACAGAAAAACATATGAGAAACAATTGGAAGATGAAGAAAAGAAATGTCCTGCGCAAATTCGAATACAATTTTTAAAATGTACACGAACGGACTTTAATATATCATTCAACAATTATCCACAACAGAATCGCAATTACTTTCGAAAAAATCAACTTAAGGGGCAATGTCAACATAGCCTAGCTATCAAACAGCCCAGATACATCATGCTTGGATTACGTAATAAGTCAATGTAATGTTCGCATTTCAAAAAGTGATTGATAAATTGCCTTATTTTTAAGTTGATTTTTCTTATAGTATTTCACGTAAAAAAATATATAAATGAAAATATGAAACACAAAATCGCCACTACTTTCGAAAATGAAGAGCTTAATTCCAAAAGGAGCTAAATCCACAATCGAGTTATTGATATCAGAATATTATTCACTTAGTACCCGTCTTTCAACAAAATTATTTACCTAAATTTTGGGAGCAATTGTGAAGAAATGCACCTTCTAATATCACTTTCCACAGACGCCTGGGGGGGGGGGGGGGGGGCGTTTCACAAAACTTGTCATCAGTGACAAATGACAGTCATTGTTATAAGCTACTGAAATCATTGCTTCTGATTGGTTATCAACAGATTTGTTACTGATTTTTGTCATTTGTCATTGAAAAAGGCTTTGTAAAACGGGCCCCAGTACACAAACTGGTTTTAAAAAAATTATCTGAAGTTACACAAATGGATGAAGCCCTTTTGGAAATAAAATTTTCAAATCAACATAAGACAAATCCAATAGCCTTATGCGTCACCTTTTAAAATGTGTGAACGTGACAAAGAGGTATTACGTAATCTGAACATGATTTCTATGGGACATACAATCGTGTTTTGAAATTGCCCTTGAGTTGATTTTGCGACTGTAGTTGGGGTCGTGTTCCAAGTAAAACCAGAACCATTGATTAGGATATTATGGCCAACCCGGTTCGAGTTGGACACAATGGCCCGAATTCACAAAGGAGGTTTGTCGACAAACCTTGGTTTTCGTGCGTCATACGACGCGTTTTTACAAACCAGGAGGGTGTTTCACAAAGATCCTAAGTAGAACGTAACCCTAAGTTGGACTTAAAAATTATGGACAGCCATTGGAGTCTTTAAATGAAATATATTCAAAAGCAGAAATTCAAGTATTTTAGACTTTTTATTAATTCCACATCCAGAACATGAAATCTCCTTGATGATAGAAAATATGAATGATTTCAATAAACAATGAATGCCTTTCAAAATAACTTTTACAAAATATTTTCAAAGATGCTAATGGCTTTCCATATTTTTTAAGTCCAACTTAGAGATAAGTTCAACTTATGATGTTTGTGAAACACCCCCCTGGTTTGTAAAAAAAAACGCGTCATATGACGTACATAAACCTCGGTTTGTCGACAAACCTCCTTTTTGAATTCGGGCCAATATGGCGACTACTACTTTGTTGGGCAAGCTGAAAACAAAAGAATATGCGCCATGTTGTGACCCAGTGAAATCAAGTTGGCCAAACTCTGTGTATAGATGGGTCTGAGTGAAACGTGTAGTGAATATGAATATGAAGAAAAAGTAGGGAAGGGGTAATACCCAACATGCCTCATTCGCTCAATGTTTATGCATATTCTCCTTTGTCAATGCCACTAATGACACAGCAGGCAAACACCATCGTGAAAATCTGTGAACGGAGGAAGAAGAAAAGGAAAAGGGGAAGAGAAAGAAAAGGGATATTTGTGAGGGTCAATGAATTAATTAAATCATGACGAAAAGGATTTAATCGTATGAACATGTCCATATACAGTGAAACCTGTCTAAAAGACCACCGAGGGAAACAAGCGGTCTTTACAAGCAGGTGGTATTTATGTATAGTTTTCTTTATACATGTTTAAGTGAGAAACCATTTTTACGGGAAACACAAATGTGGTCTTTGTAAACAGGTAGTCTTTCTAACCAGGTTTGGCTGTAGTATGACATTTTTTTCGAAATGATACGGCTTCTGAATTATCTCTTCAGAACGCGAGGCAAATTAAACATTGTGCTCATAAGCTCCGGTCCTACCTTTCTAATAAATGCATCTTCACAAAAGTGGAAGTTTAATATCATCATAAAGATGGGGTTTGAAACATGCTGGCTTAGTGGAAGAGCAGTGGTCTCAAAACCGGGAGGTCCCGGGTTCGGAACCAAACCGATGCACCCTTTGGTAAGACATTAATGCTCATTACAAAGTCCCTCGGAGAGGATACAAAGCTGTTGGTCTTGTGGTTGTTTAGTTACAAGCATAGGCATGTTTTCTTCGTAGTCTGGTAAAAACTAAAACCATTTAACACCGATAAAAAACCAATGCCTATACCATGTGCACTGCCAATTTCGAGCTATAAATTGTTTAATACAGAGGCGGATCCCGGGGGTGCGTGGGGAGCGCTTTTATAGTAAAAAGCAGGACAAAGGCTTAAAAATATTAATAATAATAATAATAATAAATTGCATTTATAAAGCGCTTAATACAATGTTTCTAAGCGCTTAACATACAAGTAAATATTCACGTAAATGTTCAGTTTACGCATTCAGTATTGCCTCAATATGTACCATAGAGCATTTAAAGGTTCGACATATTCCCCTACCCCTCGCCGTAAAGGCTTTGCGCTCTCAATTTCGTACATCCCCCCCCCCCCCCCCCCCCCCTTTGGAAAACCCTGGATCCTCTCCTGTATTAGGTATAAATTATCGTTATTATTATTAGAACGTTGGGACCGGGCTAGGATGGATGAAATATGATCTGTGGCAAATTGTTAAATTGTAATGACGAACAAGGCATACAAAATTTTGAATTGAAATGAACAGTATATACACAGTTATATGGAAGCACTGCAAACGCATGAATGTGATTGCAACTGGGTTAAATGATTCCATTGATAGGAGAAAAGCTTGCCTTTTATTTGACCGAGATATTTTTTCTTCCTAAAAAGGTTCTACTTGATTGCCTATCTCGCTAATAACGCAGCATGTAAACACCAGGGTGAGAATCTGTGGGAATAATTCGAGAAGATTATGATGCTTGGGATTTCCAGGGGCAGATGAGCAAGAGCTCAATATGCAGTATATAACTGGGGAGCTTATGATCACCTTAGTAGCTACACAAATTACAATCGCAATCATTTGTACACAATTTGTGAAGGATTCTATCTGTTTGGATTGAAATCAATAAAGTTTGAATTTGAATTGACAAATTTAAGAAGGGGTATAACGGACATACCGTAATTAAATGAAATAGATACCATTCTAATTTTTCAAGACTGGATGCCCCTCCCACAAACACACACGCACGCGCGCGCAACGCACGCACACACGCACACAAACCCAGCAATACCTGCCTTTCAAAATTCTGGTTCGTGGTTGAAACACCCATGAACATTGAATTAATTAACCAAACTAATGTACCTTTTAAATAAACAAAACTCCATGGTTTCACGTAAATTTTTATCTACAAATATATGTTCATGAGCAGAAAGAGGGGATAATGGAGGGGAAGGGGACAAGCAGTTAATACCTGAAGCAAAACTGTGAATTGGAAATAGGTTGCATGATTGATCGATGAATGAGTCAATGTTGAATTGAATAATTGATTAAGAATTGTTTACTTGATTCATTAATTACTTAGTTGATTACTTGTTTAGTTGGTTGGATGATTACTACATCGAGTGATTTGTTGAATAATTGATAGTTTCGACTATTAATATTATTGATTGACAAAATTGATACATTTTGTATTGAATGCTTGATCACTTGAATTGGTCGCTTAGTTTTTGTATTATTTGATTTATCGATTGAAAGATTTTTTTTTTTTTTTTGATTGATTGACTGACCACTTGAATTGGTTGCTTAGCTTTTGTATTACTTTATTTATTGATTGACAGATTTGAGGATTGAATGATTGATTGATTGATGGACTGACTGACAGACTGGATGTTACATTTCTTAATTATATCTCTTCTGGTTAATTATTAGATTGCCTGATGGATTACTTATTTTTGTTTTGTTAATTTATTGATTAATTGTTGTTTGGTCGATATCTTACCTCGAACACAAGAAGAGCAAGACAGACGGCTCCGATGATAAGATAATTATCTTGAATATCATCAATCGACGCATCGACACATCCCTGAAAATCAAAAGGAGGGAAATTTGAAAAATCAATTACATAAATAATATTATTTGCAATAATTATTATCACTATCTACTGTAAAATAAAGACCATGTGAATGATACTATTAAATTCAAATACATGCTTTTACAGAGAGCCTGAACAATAAAACCTGAAACCAATCATTACAAATAAATCTAAATATGGGATCAAAAGTAAGGTGGACAGTATATCTACAAGGATAATCGAAATAAGTCATTCACTACTTATTACTTGCATTGAAAAAAAGAACACCGCCATTTCCTTAGACTTTCCTTTTTTAGATTTGTGGTCCTCTTTATTTCCTATCTTTTCCATCACTCCGTCTATATACAACTAAATTATTCATATCCTTACCCATGTTTCGTAATTTGTTAAGTTTGTGAAAACAATGATTTGTCCCGATTTTTGTTTCTTGGAATGTGACATGATAAAGCTAACATCTATCTATAAGTATTCACAAAAGGCTCTAATTTGATTTTTTAATTAAAAAAAAAAAAATCAAATTCACAAGGAGAATGAATACTTCAGTTGTTAACTGTATATAGATGAACGTATATTTATATCAAATTAATCATGGTGTTACTAAAACTTTAGTAACTCCATTAATTAACCAAGCATTCATGTACATGAATTTACTTATTTTTTCTGATTGAATGATTGATTGATTGATATTATTCGTCAAGCATACATTACAGGATAGAATAACAGATAGACATAAAGAGAGAGGTAGAGAGAGAGAGAGAGAGAGAGAGAGGTAGAGAGAGAGAGAGAGAGGTAGAGAGAGAGAGAGAGAGAGAGAGATGAAAGAAAATTCTAAAAGGATAAAGCAATAAATACAAAATGATTATAAGCTTATTCTGAATGGGGTTCTGTGATCAATAATGCTTACTACTTTCAACATGCTACTACATTCATGGGCGTCAATCCTTACGTAATACCTATTGTTCAGGGGGGAATGAATGAATAGATCATCCCCCCCCTCCCTGAACAATAGGTATCAATTACAGATCTACGTCCATGACTACATTACAGGAGAGAGTAAAAGATAGACAGAAAGAGAGAGATGAAAGAGAGAGAGAGAGAGAGAGAGAGAGAGAGGGAGAGAGAGAGAGAGAGAGAGAGATGAACAACAATACTGATAATGAGCTGATTCTGAACGGGGTTCTGTGATCAATAATAGGGACATTTAGATTTGCGTGGACTGATACGTGTGATGTCCTTTCAAGGCAGTGTATTTAAAGGACGTCGACCGTTGCAATCCACGTTAATTGTCGTTGTGCAAATCTAAAAGTCCCTAATGCTTCCAACGCCCGTTCCAACTTTGAACTTGCTACTAAGTTGTTTCCTACCTGGCTGTTGACGAGGGTGGGGAAGGTCGGATTGCCCTTGGTACCGGTCTGGCACTGTGAAACACTCGCTCCGTCCACACAGCACGATTCAGGCACGGCCAGGTTACTGGGGAAGTTCAACGAGTTTGCATAGTCTGCGTACCCCGTAGCACCACAGCAGTCAAACTAGACGAGAGAGAGAGAGGGAGAGAGAGGGGGAGAGAGAGAGAGATAGAGAGAGAGAGAGAGAGAGAGAGAGAGAGAGAGAGAGAGAAAATGATCGATGAGGGCGTATCCAATGAGAAACTATTTTCTTGGGAAACAAAAAATGTGGTGTTTGTAGACAGGTGGTCTTTGTAGAAAGGTGGTCACTAAGGCAGGTTTGACTGCATTATGATTAAATGGGTAGCCGGTAGGATGTGAAAGTCATTTTACATGGAACAGCGTTGTTTGAAATTGCGCCCTACTGGAATACTCCCCAGGGAGTGGAGAATGTGCTCGCCTTGTGTACTATATATCTTAATCACTTAGAGATCTCATCGACGCATATACAAACCCCGAATGTTATTATCATGATTAAACTTTGAAACAACTTTAAAGAGTTCAGTGAACTTGTTTTAAACTTGATATTTCATGCCACATTTGTACGTCTGTTTCTTAGCAAGATCAATCATTTTACTTTATAGGCCTACCATGTCAACACAGCAAGAGAATATATATATATATTCCTGACTATGATAAACACAAAATTTTATTCTAAATGATTGAGATATGCATGAAGCTAAAGTTAAATAAATTCTCTTAACCATGTCCCTCAAAGCAGTTTTTCGTTTATTATATTAACCTTCCTCGTGCAATATACAGTTTATATATATATATCTTTGCTTTTTCATATCATAGCAAGTAAGTAAATTACCCGAACCTCTTAAACCGACCAAGAGCCCAGTTTGAACTATGCGGCCCCAACACATCGAGATTTTACTAACCTCGTGATACTGTGGTAGTATTCGCCAAGGATATACGCCCCCCCCCCCCATTGCCTTCTTTTACCGTTACATCACGATGTTTGTAAAAGTACCCATGTTTGAACAGTTCTAAGCATATTTGATGATAATTTATTTATATTCTTCTATTAAAACTATAGTCAACAGTTCGCTGTAAGTCTGTTCCCGCTCATAATCATATGGAATTTGCCATACTGTACATAGTTTAAAGCGCAAGTGGTTTATGACGCTAGCCTACATTTATCAAGGAAAATGTTGACAAGTCTTCGAAACGAAAAGTCTTTCTTTACCATACCCGAGAGCAATGTCTATTTGAGAACAACTGCCCTTTAGTTTAGCACACATACTTATGTTTTCTGCGTAGTGACATTTTATTCTTTAAAATAAAAAAAAATACGTAAATACACCTGTAATCATAATAACAAATGCGAATAATTCTTGATGTGTTCAGTATTATTCCAAAATTAAGAAAAGAAGAGAGTGAATTATGTTTGTTTGAATTTTTAAAGCCATCAGTAAGAAGCGTTCTTCTTCTTCTTCTTCTTCTTCTTCTTCTTCTTCTTCTTCTTCTTCTTCTTCTTCTTCCTCTTTTCATTGTCGGCCTTTTGTCCGTGTGTTAGAAATCTGTTTAATCGGTCTGCTTTTCAGCCTGTCTTTGGTTTGTTCTCGGTATGTTCTCGGCCTGCTGGCGGTCTGTTCTCGGTTTCGTCAGTATGCCTTGGGTATAATAATAGGGACTTTTAGATTCGCACGAAGACAATAGGTCTATGCTACGCTCGACGTCCTTTTAAAGCACTGCCTTGAATGGACGTCACACGTATTAGTCCACGCAAATCTAAAAGTCCCTAATACCTCAGTCACTGACTCCCCACTGACTCCCAACCGACCGAGTGGGGGCAATCGGCTAACGTAATTGCTCGTTAGATCTGTTTCGGTCTTGTTTTAGTTAAGTTTAGTGTATTTCTTTATCAAAAAGTCACACCCGTCATCAGACGGGCGGCCTTAGAAGGCATATGAGTGCTGTATCAAAAAATAACAGACATAAACAATTCGACATGGTAACACAAAATCACACACACATAAAAAGAATATTCATATATTACAATGTAGTTGAAAATTGTTTGACATGCACTACAAAATAGAACAATAAAAACATGAAAAAAAAACGAAATATTCATTCAAGTAGTACAACAATTTTTGGCGAGTTGTTTGATTTGCTTTGCGAATTGGTCTTGTGTCGGTCTCGTCTGAGTGATTGGGGGATAGCAGGCAAAGATACAGGGAACTAAGCAAACGTAAAATCAAAGCTTACTGAATTTTGAATACCATCTACAGATTCCTTGGAGGCGTCTGTTGTTGGGTAAGTGTTGGTGATGGTGTATGTCATTCCTTCAATCATACTGGCCTCAAGCTGGGTAGAAAGAGAATAAAAAAGAAACAAAGCAAGGGATTTTATTATTTGTTTGGAAGAGTGACAACCATGAATACAAAATATATGTATCTTTCCTGACGTTTTTCTTCTTCTTATCCTCAAGCGAGGTTTTTATTTCTATGATTTAAATATTTTCTGACATTCGAATTTCAAAAATAATGATGAATTCGTCAGTAATGTTGGTTCATTTACAAATCCCGACCTATCTACTTTCACACAACGCTCTCTCTCTCTCTCTCTCTCTCTCTTCCTCTCTATCTCTCTCTCTCTTCTCTTTTACTATCCATCTGTCTTGTCACTCCTTCTAGTCATCTCTCTCAAACCGTCCTTCTCAGTCTCCACTCCCATATCTCTCTTTCTCTCTGTCTCTCTTTCTCTCTCCTTCTATTCCATTACCCCCACCTCAACCAACTCATCCCTTTCTCCTTCTTTCGTTTCTCCCCACCACCCCCACTCCTGTCTCTCTTTCTCTTTCTCTACTTCTCCTTCCCTCCCCCTCTCTCCCTCTCTGTATCTCTTTCTCTCCCTCTCTCTCTCCCTCTCTGTATCTCTCTCTCTCTCTCTCTCTCCCACACACACATCTTTGATCTATCTTCTATCATACCTCATCATCGAAGACGAAAGCGAGAATGCCGGCGGTGATCTCCAGTAAGATGATCAGAACCATGAAGAAGAAATACTAGTAAGAGAAGGAAAACATAGTTTATCACTAGACATTAGTCTGGTATCAACATCATCATTAGGGTCATTATCAGGAATATCATAATCGACGCGATCGTAATTAAAATCATCATTATTACCATCATCATTATTACTTTCATCATAATCACCATCATTATAATTACCATCGCCATCACCATCAACATCACCATCATCATCACCATCACCATCAACATCACCATCAACATCACCATCACCACCATCGTCACCGTCATTACCATCATCATCATCTTTCCCATCAACAAAATCATAATCATCATCAATACCGCCATCACCATCATCATCAGCTTTAATCGCTATAATCGTCACCATTAATATCATCATCATCATCATCACTACCATCGTCATCATCATCGCCATCACCATCACCACCGCAATCATCATCCCCATCATCATCACCATCATTACCATCATTATTATCATCATCATCACCATCGTCATTATCATCACTTTCACCATCATCATCGCCATCATCATCGCCATCACCATCATCATCATCATCACCATCAATATCACCATCATCATCATCACCATCATCATCATCACCATCATCATCACCATCATCATCATCACCATCATCATCATCACCATCATCATCATCACCATCATCATCATCATCACCATCATCACCATCATCACCATCATCATCACCATCATCACCATCATCACCATCCATCCCATCAACAAAATCATAACCATCATCAGCTTAATCGCTATAATCGTCATCATCATCATCATCATCATCAAAGGCACCATCATCATCCCCAAACAATGGTTGCCATGGAGACATCTTCCCTACTCACCAGTTTGAGGAGGAACGTTCCTTCCTTGAGGGCGCCACAGCATCCACAGAAACCTACCAGGAAGATGAAGCACCCCACCCCTATCGTTATACCAGTCACAATCAATATGGTATCCTCCGCGAAGAGATCCGTGTATTCTTGTTGCCGGGCGGTTATCCATGATCCTATAGAAATCAGCACAATGCCTGCTGCCTGTAAGTCAAGAATAATCACATAAAACTCATGGAGACGAGACTAGCTCTAATACGTGATCAGTTTAAAAATCCAATTTACCCAAACCTGTAAAGTAAATCTGATGTTGAAAGGAAACAATCTTAATAGAAAAGGCGTAAATATTCACCTCTGAATGATAAACGCCTATAAACATAGACAACAACAACTATATAAGCGTTTAATTAAAAATAGTCATCCTTTTCTGTCTGTAATCCTTCCTCTCTTTCAAAGAATAGTATATGCACTTGGTATAGACCGCCCTCTTCAGACGTTGGAATCTTTAATTTATATGAGCTGTTTCTTAGCTTTATTGACATAACGAACTGTGACACAATTTTAGTAGGAGATGTAAACTGTGACCTACTGGCCAAACCTTTATCGAGTATGAGTAAGAAATATATGGATATCAATGATATGTATTCTCTAGTTCAAGTTAACACAAATGAAGCAACCAGAATTACAAATGCTTCTGCTACATTGATTGATCATCTCTTAACGAATAACTCCCCAAACGTAAAGAGTTATGGAGTACTTCATAATGGAATGAGTGACCATTCTATTAGTTTTTTAATTTGGAATGCCAATGTTTCATCACACCCCAGATTTATTAACTTTAGAAGTTGCAGCAAACTTAATGGTAATGAGTTTAGAAATGATATTCGCAACCAGAAATGGGAGTATATAAATCAGTGCAATTCAATTGATGAAGCTGTTGAATTATGGCAAAATCTGTTGTTACAAGTTGTTGACAAACACATGCCATATCGTTCAAAAAGAATAAGTACTAGGGGCTCTCCGTGGATGAATGCAAGTATTTATAAACTCATGAAAAAGCGTGACAAACTGAAACGGAGAGCGTGTAAACTTAAAGATGAAAAACTCATGTGTGAATATAGAGTACTACGTAATAAAGTTACTACTGATGTAAGAAAAGCAAAGAGAAAATACTACTCTGATAAATTCTCACTTTCTAGTGCTAATCCAAAACAGACTTGGAAGACATTAAAATCTATCATTCCAAATAAGAAACGTGACACGCCAATAGTTGCGCTTAATTCAGAAAGTAATGTTGATACTGCTAATCTTTTCAATACCTTCTTTGCTGAAGTAGGAAGTAATTTAGCAAAAGAAATTCCTGATACGCCTCTCCCTATAGAAAACAATATACCATTAATCAAGAGTTTTGAGTTTACCCTTGTAACCGAAAATGATGTGTTGGGAGTTATAAACAAATTGAAAAATACTAAATCTGTAGGTGTAGATAAAATATCAGTTTTTGTTTTAAAAGCATGTGCTACCGAGATTTCACAGAGTATTGCTAACCTGATCAACCGCTCTTTGTTGAGCGGTAAATTTCCTCAACAATGGAAAAGGTCCAAGATTATCCCAATTCACAAAAGTGGCGATAAGAGCTCTCCTTCAAATTATCGGCCCATCTCAATTTTGCCCTGCGTATCTAAAATACTGGAACGGGTTGTCCAAAGACAAGTTTTGGAGTTTCTACATGAGAACAATATCTTGTCAGCCGCCCAATCTGGATTCAGGCCACGTCACTCAACTATTACCACTCTCCTAAAAGTAACTGATGACTGGCTTCACGCAACTGATAAGAAAGAGTATACGGGGGTTGTATTTGTGGACTTAAGAAAGGCCTTCGATACCGTGAATTGTGATATTCTTATTAAGAAACTCAATAACATAGGAATTTCTGGCACTCCATGTACATGGTTTAAAAGCTACATGTCAGACAGAGTCAGTAGGACACTTATTAATGCAGAGCTTTCTTTCGAATCAGTTATTGAGTGTGGTGTGCCCCAAGGTTCCCTTCTAGGGCCACTGCTCTTCATCGTATATATAAATGATTTAGTAAAATGTATAAAAACCTGTCAAGTTCAGTTGTATGCTGATGATACTGTTTTATACTTCTCACATCCTTCTATAGATAGAATTGAATTAGCTTTGAACTCAGACCTAGAAAATATGTATTACTGGATGTGCCAAAACAAATTAAGTGTCAACTGTCAAAAAACAGTTTGTATGCTCATTGGAAGCAACCACATGATATCTAAAAAGAATGTCCTCCGAGTTTCATTGAATGACATCTTCATAGATCAAGTTCATCATGTCAAGTACCTTGGCGTCTTAGTTGATGAAAAGTTAAACTGGAATTTACATATAGACAATATGTTGAAGAAAATTGGTCAAATGGTAGGCTTTCTAGGAAGACTAAGGCGATTCCTAAGTGAATCGGTACTGAAATTAATATATAGCTCACTGATCCTTCCGTATTTTGATTATGGTGATGTTATTTACAGTGCAGCTTTCAGGAAATATACAGATCGCCTTCAAAAATTGCAAAATAGGGCAGGCCGGATTATACTTAAAATAAAACCTGAATCTCATGTCTCTGTTTTGGAAATGCATAACGCTCTTAATTGGCAACTCTTGGACAAAAGAAGAAATCATCATTCCCTTGTTCTTATGTATAAAATAATGAATAATCTAACCCCCGAGTATTTAAGAAATGAATTTGAGTTGAGAACCCATTCCTACCCTTCCCGAATTGGAGCTCAAATAAAATTACCCAAACCGAGAACAAATTACCTCAAAAGATCATTCAAGTATAGAAACGCAAAGGCCTACAACACACTTCCTCCTCATATCAAATCTTCCCCTAGTGTTAATACATTCAAATCTAAGATTGCAGAACTGTTACAGTAGCACATGGTCCCCCTCCTTATTTTGTTATGATTACTTGTTTTTTATGAAATGTTTTTTTTTTTTTTTTTTTTTTTTTTTTTTTTTTTAAATCCCTTTATTTTATATTAGTTCTTTTTGTTCTTTCTTCAAAATGTATTTACTGTTGTTCATATAATGTATTTATGTTTTGTTTTGTTTATGTAATTGTTCCGGACCCCACGGAAGACCAGCTTTCCCATGTCGGGTTAGCTGAATGTGGGCTATCCATCGTATTTTATGCATTTTTACTATGTTTTTTATACGAAAATAAATACTACTACTACTACTACAGAGGCCTAACAATAATCATCAGCATGTCACACGATCTGTTCTGATTCAAGACAAGATTGGCATATGGTAATAGGTATTTATACGTAACATCATTAGATGCAGTGTGCACATCAAAAACCTTTACTATTTTTGTGTTGTATTAATCTTTACTATTTCAAGAGAAGCAAACGTTTCATCAGAGTGTTACTCGTGATCATCTCATGCACAAGATAAACAGTAGAGGTGTTTTAATTTGTCGATGATTCATTTGTTTGTAGAAAGCAGTTTACTATGGAATTAGGCCGGTACATCATATGTAATAAATAACAATTTGTAATATACAGTCAAACCTGTCTATTGAGTGCACCAACGGGAAACAGAGACATTGGCCACTCTGGACAGTTGAAATTTCTAGACAGAATCTACAACACATATTTATCTTTCGGGGGGGGGGGGCAAAATACATGGTCATTATAGACAGATGGCTTTTAAGAAAAGTGATCACTAAGACGAGTTTGACTGTATTATTATGGAACTTGACTTCACCTTGCTATCTGAACGGATCCGAATGGATACTTTAAAAATTACGTATTTAGCTTTAAAAAAGTATATGAGATTGAAAGGGTATGTTGTGTGCAGATGAAGGACTTACCCACACGCAGAAGTTCAATATGAACAGGAAAAGCTTCGCAATCTTTGGTCCACAACCAGCCACCATTTTGAATTATTTCTCTAGAAGAAGAAGAAGAACAATGAAATACACAGATACAGCGGTTATTTCACAAAAATTATATGTGCAATCGTTTCCACATACTAGTCTAGCTTCATATGAGCGGAGGTTTGGTATACAATGTGTACCAGAAAGCTTTCATATGAACACACCCTGAGTGATGAATAATCATGACGTCATCAGGGGGTTTCAGGCAAACAAGGCTCTGCATTGGTTAATAATTAACATGAATTCAATGTCATATGAGTCTTTTATGGCTTTACTTACAGGCTCAAATATTAGGCTCTACCCGACACGATGATGTCATAGTGATTTTACTGGGAAATAATCCTTATTATGATTGATGCAGTATATTGCACTTCATAATCAGACCGCTGGGCAAAGTATATTTTTTAATACGGACTGTTTCTTCACTGATCTTATGGAAACTTTACAAATTAAGTTAAATGAACATTGTCTCATTAATCATGACATTTTTCATACCTTACAATCAATTAATTTGGTTTCATTTTCACGACATTTTCTTTCTTCTTAGAGTATAAATGCGTATTATTTCGTGAATTGTATTTAATTCTTGAACATAACATTTTTAATTATATCTATTTCACTTGTTATGTTTGGTAACGTCCTTTGGTTGGAACATTAAAAGCTTTTGTTATTGTTCTTTCGTGTTTACTGTGTGTCGGGTAAACCTTAGGCAGAGTTTTTGGTCGCATTATAAACAGTGTGTTCTGCAGAGAATTTGAAATCATTAGCAAAAAGGTAGAATGCCATATGTTTCCAAAATAATTCATCTGAAATGTTTTGTGACGAAGGATTGTATGATTGGTAACCAGGATTTAGACTATACCACGCCCTTGTAAGATTACGTAATCACCAAATACCAATCCTTGTCTGTCAATAAGATCATGTATTCTTGAGGGATTATCGATGATGCTTCATTAACAAAGCATGTTAATTAATAACCAAGCTTCATTATCAGTTGATTACCAATTAGATTGGTATTCTTTGTTTAAGCCTGATCGTTCTTCAACACATGCTCTGCTGACAAGTGCTTTGCGTTCATCATCCTACACTAACCGAATTCATAACTTCACAGCAGTATACCTAAGCCTCACCTCACCCCAAGAAATAACTTTACTTATTCTGAGAGACATGGGCGTCGATCCTTACGTAATACCTATTGTTCAGGGGGATGAATGAATAGATCACCCCCCCCCCTGAACAATAGGTATCAATTACAGATCTACGCCCATGCTGAGAGATGTATTATATTCTTACACATTAATCTACAAGACTCCATGCACCAAGTGTACGAGAGAGGCAGAAAGCATGAATAATGCACAGTTTCTCAGCACGACACGGGCATCGCCATTTTATTGATCACGTGACGTACTATATGTAAAGTCGTTTTAGTCGTTTATCAAGTAAATGTATTCAAATTTATGGATGATTCCTTCCCAGGTGTGTGTGGTGATGAAGTATTTCATTCACCTGCTATTATCCTTTGTGCGGTACTACAATTGCCAGAACGCAAATTGCATAAATAATTTTCTGCTGTTCTCTGGGCGAAGGTTTCTCATAATGAAATAGATTTGTCAATTGCTATATTTCAGTATGTTTTAATGAATTACTTACACTTGTTCCCCTGTTATATATTCTTCACCAAGTATAATTTATAATTTCTCACCTATGATGTTTCCTTATTGGGAAGTGAAGGCTTTGTTATCGATTTTAAAATTCAGATACCGTCCGCCAAATGACTTTTAGGTTTCCTCTCTTCAAATTCATTTCAATGACTCATGCGTGATAAATATATTATATGAGTTGCATCAAATGAAAGAGGAGGATCTAAGCTTTCCAAATACGTGTCATTTATCAATTATAAATGTGATTAAGTTATGATAAAACATCGATAAGTATCGGTTTCATTTTTTCTGGGACGCACTGTATATTTAACGGCTCCCTAAATTCACAGCACAGCACTTTACCAAACTTGACCCAACCCCTATCATGAAACCCATTTGTATGGTGGCCCTGAAGGGACATCGCGAATAGACTAAATCGTGAAAAATATGCGATAAAATTCACGATATCGTCAATTTTATCGCATATTTTTCACGAAGAAATTCACGAAATTGACGATATCGTGAACTTTATCGTGAACTTTTCACGATGAAATTGACGATATCGTGAATTTTATCGTGAAAAGTTCACGATATAAAGTTCACGATATCGTCAATTTTATCGTGTACTCTATCGTGTACTCTATCGTGTACTCTCCTGACGGGCGCTTCGTAAACAAAACCAGCCCTAGCTGGGGGAGACAGAGAGAAGGAAAAAAGGGAAAGGGAAAGAGAAGATAAAAGGAAAGAAAGAATAATAAGAAGAAAAGAGGGAAACGGGGGGGGGGGGGCGAAGGGCTCTTGCCTCCTCCTCACTCCCCCCCGCCAAAAAATAAATAAGGAGAGAGAGAAGGGAAAGGGAAAGGGAAAGAAAATATAAAAGGAAAGAAAGAAGAGGATGAAGGAAAGAGGGAAACGGGGGAAGGGCGAAAGGCTCTTACCTCCCCCCCCCCCCCCCCCCGCCAAAAAAATAAATAAGAGAGAGAGAGAGAGAGAGAGAGAGAGAGAGAGAGAAGGGAAAGGGAAAGAAAGAAGAGGAATAAGAGGGAAACAGGGGAAGGGCGAAGGGCTCTTGCCTCCTCCCCCCCCCCCGCCAAAAATAAATAAGAGAGAGAAGGGAAAGGGAAAGAAAATATAAAAGGAAAGAAAGAAAAGGAATAAGAAGGAAAGAGGGAAACGGGGGAAGGGCGAAGGGCTCTTGCCTCCTCCCTCCACACCCCCCGCCAAAAAAATAAATAAGAGATAGAGAGAGAAGGGAAAGGGAAAGGGAAAGAGAAGATAAAAGGAAAGAAAGAAGAGGAAGAAGAAGAAGAAAAGAGGGAAACGGGGGCGAAGGGCTCTTGCATCCCCCCGCCCAAAAAATAAATAAGAGAGAGAGAGAGAGAAGGGAAAGTGAAAGAGAATAAAAAAGGAAAAGAAGAGGAATAAGAGGGAAACAGGGGAAGGGCGAAGGGCTCTTGCCTCCTCCCCCCTCCCGCGCCAACAAATAAATAGGAGAGAGAGAGAGAGATAGAGAGAAGGGAAAGGGAAAGGGAAAGAAAATATAAAAGGAAAGAAAGAAGAAGAAGACGGAAAGAGGGAAACGGGGGAAGGGCGAAAGGCTCTTACCTCCCCCTCCCCCCTCCCCCCTCCCGCCATAAAGGGAAAGAGAAGGGAGAGGAGCTCCCAGCTAGGGCTGGTTTTGTTTACGAAGGAGAGTACACGATAGAGTACACGATAGAGTACACGATAAAATTGACGATATCGTCAATTTCATCGTGAAAAGTTCACGATAAAGTTCACGATATCGTCAATTTCGTGAATTTCTTCGTGAAAAATATGCGATAAAATTGACGATATCGTGAATTTTATCGCATATTTTTCACGATTTAGTCTATTCGCGATGTCCCTTCAGGGCCACCATACATTTGCAACCCTAACCCTGTTATTTAACGAATTCCGAAACTACATCTCAGCACTGTACCTAACTTAACAAGTAATCATCATATACAAACTCTCTCAATTCTGTCCCGTATGTTTTAAACTATTTATTTTATTTATTTTGCCTTTCTATCTTTAACCACTCCTATCATTATATTTTGTCTAAGCCCAGCCATATTTCTCTGTTAGTTTTCATATCTTTCCGTATTATACTCAACTTAACAAGCCATTTATGTGCTTTTCATGATCCCCCGCTTCCTATACACCCAATTAATAAATGATGTGATTTTCTTTCCCAAAGTATTTCTTAATGCCCATTTCCCTGTGGCTGTTCCGTTGTAAAATGGTTTAACCAAAGTTTATAGCGCCATGAGTCCAATATTTGCTCAAAGCCCTTGAATTTGTCGACGTGCAAAAGCCTTCGGTCATCCTCGATAAGAATGATTGATACGACACTTTGACGCCAGATCAACTATACTTAACCATACAAATACCAAACCAAATATGAACTTATAAACCAAACGTACCATAAAACTTTGCAAATGTATATGTATCGAGTGTTTTATGTACATGTAAGTGTGCACGTAGGGATGTACATGTACATGTTAATATGCTACTAGCCAACCTACAAAGCAATCTCATCAGGCAGATTGCATGAAATATGACATCTTAAAATCTTTTTCAAAACTAATTTACGAAAATATCTTGATCATTTTTGTTTCTTAAACATATATGTTTAAGAATCAAGAATAATAAATGTTATACAATTATGAAGTTATAATTTCTAACGAAAATATAAAATTGTGATAAAAAGTAAAGGTTTCTTTAACATTGCGTCTACATCTTATAAAACGATTTCTTTCCTTGTTACAACAGGGTAAAAAGTAGCATAAATATTTATTTATACCAATATCAAGAAGTGCGTTTAGGCTATTATATAAATAATAATTCTATACCTACCTTCTTGGAATCATCACCTACTAAACTATTTTGTTTTGTTTCGTTTTCCCGCATATTTCGATCAACATTGAACTCTCGCATTTCTCGAAATACAATTTCATTTTCTCGCAGTAATTGAAAAACGTCCAAATGTAAGAACACTTCAGTAATATTCATGGACCGAAAAAATTACAATTACGGCACGAAATGGAGGAAACTTACCTTGACTTGGGGGAATTCACAAAGTTATCAAATACTGACTTAGACCAGCAATCGGATGTGATGTGTATCGTCGAATCGCGTGTATGCTTCGAATGACTGTAGCCGTAGATGAAGGATCGTTTTATGGTTTTAATCGCTTTGATTATACAAATTGGTCTATTGCGTTGGTCAGTTGGTCATCTGCGCTGTTGCCAATAGCAAACACATGATAACAATCACGTTAAAACTTTAAAAGGGCGCGGTGCGGACATAGTAACGATGACCAGTTCGATTAAAACGTAAGCGGATACTCCTTATCATAATTAAGATTACATGTTTTTAGTCGGTAAAGACATTAATCATGACATTATTAGATTGACGTCAACAAGTTATTTTTATCCTTAGTCGGTTATAGTTAAAGTCATTTTTTCAACAATGTAATATTTTTTTTTATAAATATTGTATTAATTAGTAATTAACAAATATATATTCATCCTCCCTCTCTGTCTCTCTTTCCTCCTAATCACCCTCTCTCTCCTCTCCCCCTCTCCCTTCTCTCGTTATGTGTGTGTGTGTGTGTGTGTCTCTCTCTCTCTCTTTGAGACCTATGACGCGTTATTAATAGGGGTGCGGGATACAGTCCTCTAGCTGTGAACGCCACTTGAAATCTTTTTTTTTTTTTGCTTCGTTTTTTTTTTTTTTTTTTTTTGTGGGGGTTTATGTGTATGTTTATACCCAAAGTAATTACAAGTTGATAACCTATAATCGTTTAAAAATGGGCAAATGTTGCCAAGCATGAGAGTACCTTGGGGTCCCACCGTACGTTTGGTATTCTTTTAACCCAGCTTGGGAGACTTATTGTCTCAATAGGGTCAGAATAACGAATATTTACTTTAAAATGCGGGAAATTGTTAGCATCCAATTGTTTGTTTTTTATGCCTAAAGTTGATCGGACATTACCCCCTTTGCAAGTTTTACCCCGTAAATTGTATACAACAGAAAGGGTCATGACCTTTCATATCATATTCGTAACCATGGTAACACTCAATGTCTCTCTTTTTATCCCTCTCTCTCTCTCTCTCTCTCTCTCTATATATATATATACATATCTTTATCTTTCTATATCTTATAACATACGTAGACCAGGACAAAGAATTTAAATTTGAAATACAAATTCACCTTTAATTTCTTATCATTATTGATACACTATGGTAAACATAGCGGTCAGTAAATAACCTGATCACAGAAGGAGGCGAAAACCCGGAAAGCGAAAACTTATGTACATGATCCAGTACTTTTTAGAAGCATTTATACAAGTCTAAAGACAACATAAAGCACACCAAGCAATAACACAATATATCGATACTAATAAAAGGCATGAATGTTATTGCATTCACTGTCTATTATAATAATTACTCATTATACTGTAGCTCTTGTATCATCATAATACTTTTTTGTACATATTTTTACTTATTAAAATGTGGAAATTAAAGCCATACTGAACTAGAAGCACTACCGCCAATCCTCTCCAGCACCATCTCAGGTCAGCCGTAGCAGTGTGGTCCCGCTACTCGCTGTCTCTCTAGTTGTGCTATTGGTTCTCGCATCAAGTCCTTGGTCGGCAAAGTGGGAAATGGTTTTGGGTAACGCACTGTTGGGAAGTTGACCATGAGATGGCGCTCTGCAATAAACTGTACGCTAAATAGGCAGAAAATTCATCCTTTCAGTGTCGCTTAAATAAATGAAATGATATGAAATTATTACAGACTGAAAACAAGCTTGCAGACATAAGGGTTGGTGGATCCCTCACACGAGAGATCATGCCATGACTCGGCCGTATTTGTATGCATATGCACACAGTTGCTAAGTGGATCGGAGTAATCAGGTTGTGAGTCGGGAACCCATGAGGCGTAGTTGACGGGTGAACCATCGGTCCATACGAAAGGCTCAGTCAAGCCTTCATTCGGTTGATGGAGGCCTAACCACAGATAATGATATACCTGAAAGACATAAATCAAAATGGCTGACTTGTTTAAAACGATACGAACGGCTCAGTCACACCTTCATTCTGTTAATTGAGTCCTAACCACAGATATTTAGCGATGCCATATACCTAGAAAACATAAATCAAAATGGCTGACTTGTTTGAAAAGATGGTGTAATTAGACATTCGATTTCATGTTTAACTTTCGCATTAGCCTCTCCTCCAGACAGTAACGAGGGCCCTCACGAAGAGCAGTACATTGATCTAACGCTATCCTGGGGGAAATTTGATTCCAAGGGTAGGTTTCTAGCTTGCCTTAACGGGAATAGTATTTTCCTTGCGTGCTTTTCATCTTTATCTGTCTGAACGTTTATTGCAAAGCAGTTTTTATGTATTGAAGAGACTACCCTGTATGAAGAACAAGGAATAAATAAATAAGTAAATAAATGAAATTATAAATGTATTAATTGATTCATTAATAAATGATCGAATATAAGACCGTACTATCCATATGATCTTATAATTATTTAATCATAAATAATGATAATCACCGAAGGATGATTAGACCTTATGACTAGCAGACAAAACGGGCATTATACAAACTGGGAATTAGACTAACTGGTTATTAGACTTAGTGAACAAAAGACCAAGCGGGTAATAAACTTATTAGAGATTAGACAATTGGGTAGTAAACGAACTGGTTGTAAACCGAACGGCAATTTACCAAAATACCATCATTGAATCACAAAAAACATACCCCAGGGAAATTCATGATAAATTCCAATTCCTCCTGACTATGTATGGACATCATGTCTGCTTGTCCTTCCATGGTGATGACGTCACGACAGTTCGACAAGGCTTGGTGAAAGGTTACCCTTTCGGGAAAATAACCATAGCAACTGCTTCTGAAATAGATCCACGAATCGGGACAGCATCTTGAATCGGGACAGGTCCAAGCTGATTTTAAAAGACATACAGAAGTCTGTCAGTGATGGATAGGTGTTGTGGTTCAGAGGCTGTTTCAGGAATATGAACTGCAGGGTCCGGGATTGGAATCCCTGTCGCATCACCACTGTCCTTTCGTGAAGACATTCATCTACATTTGCCACTTTCCAACCAGGTGAGGTAATTAATAGAGCGTCAGGAGTGGCAATGTGCCAGACACACGTAAGGTGCTCAAGGCACTCCAATATTACCCCGGCTCTGTTAGGCTACCGATTTTGGTGCTAACAGCATTTAAGGAATCCCTTCCTGCCAGTACCAATTTAACACCTGGGTGGAGAATGGCAAATGTAGATCATTTTCTTGCCAAAGGACATTAGTGCCGTAGCGGGAGCCGAACCGCGAACCATGTGATCCACAGTCTGAAGACGTGTCCAGTAGAACACGCCCCTCTACATAACAGAAATTCTTAATCTGAACGTATTAAAACATACCACAAATTGGACCGTGATATCCTGATGCACACGTGCACTCAAATCCATCGAGCGTCTCCGTGCAAGTTCCTCCATTCTGACAAGGAGACGAGAGGCAGGCTGTATTGGAAAACATAATTGTAGTAGTAATAACAATACATTTATGAAAATGAATGATAATAGAATTAATGACAATAATAACAATAATAATATTGAAATTAATAATGATAATAATAATAATAGTGATGACAACAATAATGATAATAATACGAGTGATGGAGTTGATAATGATGATAATGATTATGATAATAATAGTGATACTGATAATGATGATAATAATAATAACGATTATAATGATAGTGATAATGATAATAATAGTCACCACCATCATTATGATCATCATCATGCATCATTCATTAGTACAGGTTTCAATGAGAAACCATATTCAAGGGAAACAAAAATTGTGGTCTTTCTATAGAGGTGGTCGCTAAAGCAGGTTCGACTGTACATCAAGAGTATAGGCCTACCTGGGAATGTACAGATAAGTCTGTGAGTAATAGTCTGATCCAACTCTGGCAACCAAATATCTTCATCGGTCACTGATTTCGGTACTAGGGCAATGGTGTCCCCGTTCTCCAAAGTAACGGTGCCACACGAGAGAGGGTGCAGCGCCGGGCAGTTCCCGGGCAGCTCACCGGACGTAATGACAGAGGCAACCCGGGCAGCTGGAAATAAGCAAATATGCAGGGTGTAAACAATAAATAAAAAAAAAGTACCAAAGTCATATTGACAGTAGTATAGTTTGCATACCATGCCCTAACATGGAGTAAATCTTTAGCATTTAACATTTAGAATTTTTAATTTACATAAAATTTTGTAGAAAAAATATATTTATTTATAAATGAATGACTTTGATGATACAATATGAAAATACAATACATTTTAGTTAAAGGTAATACAAAGTTTTGGTATGGGGTCATGAATTTGGTTCAAATTAACATATTGGAAGCATATGCGACCCTACAATATTCAGTGATCGTTGTCGCGGTTGAAATCGACTCAAAAATTATGAAATTGTAAATAATAAACTCTTTATGTTGTATAGCTCCTTCTCAAGGTCAAGATATTAATTAACCTATAAAACAATGTTTCTTGACTAAAATCGACCGATTAGCTATTCCCGTTTGGAAATAAATTATCACAACTACATATTCTGAGATTTTCATAGTCGCAGCTACCATTGTACGGCCATATAAGCGCTATTTTTAAATTTATCAAAATTTACCGGGAGCAAATTTTTCTCGAAAGCAGAAGTGTTTTAGGAGCTAAATTTTCTTGTGCTTAAAATACATCCACAGGGGCATCCAAATATATCAAAATTGTAAAGATTCACTATCCATCCAATTTTCAAAATTTCCCAAAACTTTGTATTACCTTTAATAGGAGTTTTCGTAAAGATAAGTGCATATAATCACATTAACTAACCCAAGCAAAGGCATGGTGAAATCATTTTTTTGGAGTAGGTAATCAATAGTAATCAAAGTATACAAAGCAATTCATAAAAAAGTGAGGGAATAACATTGGACGACTTGCCAATTCGTATAGTGATTTTAATAATTTTCCATGGTTAGCAATTTTAGTCACGATTTTACTAAACTTGTTTTGATCTGTTTGTCTGAATTTTCGGCTTCTGTTGAAGCAAGTTCATATGGAACTGAAAGTTGTGGAACATAATGAACTATAGTTTGCTTAACTTGGAGCCCTTATCGGTTCAGTTTAAAATAAGTTTATATTTCTCCGTGTATGTTCCAATGT